AGAAAAAGGAATTAAACTTCAGTGAGATATTTACTTATCAATTAAACTATTAACTACGTGTGGCATATAGTTCTTTGATCTCTTGACAGAGTCTATTAAGACTCAGCATAGGCGTTAGGACGTTTACTGTGTGGGTGGAAGAATCCTACAAATACATACCTTCAAGGTAGAGTGGTTAATATGATGTTAGAATCCAAAGGAAAAGGTACCAGCTCAGGAATCGAGGCTTTTTGACAATGTTAAACATTAGAATTCAGAGACTCCCAGTAAGAATGCCTTATCTTGGATATCTACTTGGGTATTTTTCTCCATATGAATGTTTCTTCAGTATTAGAACAAATGTTTGTTTGTTTATTTTGTTGTTGTTGATTCATAGAGATCTACCTCTCTTTGCCTCCTAAATGCTGGGATTAAAAATGTGTGACACCAAGCCTGGCTAGACAAGTGATTCTTCAAGTGTATTTCCTAATCATGTTTTTAATGTCTTAAAATAGGAAACGACCGTTTCCATCTTTGAACCTTTTTGCATCTAGCATACCTCCAACATGGGCTGTGATGAACATGTAGAAATATGAACAGCCTTGAAGGAGCTTACAGTTCAATGAGGGGAAAATGTTTAATAAATATTGCATTATTTTATGGTAGTAGTCAAAAAGATAAAAAAATACAGTCTGTAGCCACATAGTCTTCTTTTTTATAGAACAGTCCTTTAGATAACCATTAGCTTGATAACCTGTAGTATGTAGTAAAGCAAATTAATCTGAAAAACAGATTTTACATTTAGCATTTGACAGCATTAAGTAGCACTTATCTGGGTTGTAATTGTTGTTTATGTACTGGGTTTGAATATATACTTCTACGAATGCTTTCCAGATCTACATGGTCGGGATATAGTTTTTCGAAAGCAGATCGTGAGATCTGTGTGTGTGTGTGTGTGTGTGTGTGTGTGTGTGTGTGTGTGTCCTAATATTACAGTTATTTTCCTCTTATTTAGAAATAAAGGTTAAGAATCTAAAAAAAAAATTCCACATACAGGTTGGCAGTAGATGTGTTTTTCCAGATGTTTAAAGAAGTTATAACACTGACACTACAGTCCTTTATTCATTTCTAGAGTGTGGGAGACAGCATAATATGGACAGACAGACGACGTGACATTGGAAGGGGTGTTTGAGGGTGGGGCGACAGGACAACAACGGGACAGACAGACACTGAGACACAGAGACTGATAATTTCTAAGGCTAACAAAATATTTGTAATCAAACCTGATGTGGGCATTAAAAAATAGAAAATTATAGCTGTGCATAAGGACCAAAGTAAAAGACCTAAAGAATATAAGCAGACCAAAACCATCAGTATTTTAAAAGGACAATAATAAGACCAAAATGGATTATTAGCAATATAGGGTTGGTTTAAGATCGAGCCAATGTAATTTATACATTAACCAAAAAAATCATATGATAGGCAAAAAAATTTGACAAAATTTAAATTACAATTTACATGTACTTTCAGGAACTTAGAAATAGAAGTGACTCCTTTAACTATTAAACCCTGGAAACATCACACTTAGACGTCCACAGCTGTCTAATGGAGATTTGATAGAAAAACAAGGCCTTCCCTCTGACTGGGGTGTATTTACCAGCTGTTACAGAAAGATGCTAAGGTAGATATATGTTGGCAAGAAAAAAATGAGCAGTTTTTATTATTTTCAGCTGAATGTACAGAATTTAAACAAGATTGTATTTTTTAAAAAGCTTCAATGGTTGATATTAACTATTACGATTAATAACTGAGTTAGAGAAAACAACTGGAATAAATCCAAGAACTGAACTGAAAGATAATTACAGAATATTGACACATGATTGAAAACACTTCTGAGCAGAGAGATGGCCTCACCTTGCTCAGGTGTGGATATTTGGCATTATCAAGCTATCACTGCTTCATTAGATTCAGTGAAGTCCTAATTAAAATTCTACTTTTTCTTTTTATTTCCCTGGTTTTTTTTTTTTCTTTAGAATTACTAAAATCACTGAAATTCAAAGGGCAAAGTGCTTTTGCGTGGAAAAGATGACATTCTTTAATAGATAAACAGTCGGAACAGACTTCTGAGCCCAGAAATACAATCTACAAGGGTGATAAAGAGCGTTTTTTCTTTTTGAGACTGTCTTGTTACACAACCCAGGCTGGATTAGAATTCCTAATCTCTTAGCCTCTCTTAGCTGGGATCAGAGGCATATAATACTACACCTGGCTGAAGAAAGCGGTCATCATCCTACCAAATCACATTCTAGGTCATGAGTATATCTGAACATGGTAAGAAAATACTGATCTCTTAGAAAGTTCCTTAATGATAAAAGTGCAAAGGAAGAGGTAGTTAGGCGTGTGTGTGTGTGTGTGTGTGTTGTTGATCCAACTCAAGGCTCTGAGCATGTTAGATACATGCTGTATCACTGAGCTACATCTCCAGCCAGGAATAGTTTTAAAATAGTAAAACAGATGAACACCAAACCATTAGCTATAGTTGAAACTTAAAGGTAGAGAAAATGAATGGTGTATTAGTAATGTCCCAATAAAGATAGACAAACATGATGGCAGAAGAGAAATTGTTAATCAAATTCTTGAGAAAATGAGACTAGATTCAGAATTGGAGTGATACGATTTATCTTACTTTGGAATCAAATCTAAAATCCTTCATGATTCCTCTCTGATTGCAGATACCTACCTAGATAAGGTTTTTGGTTCCTGGTGTTACTCCTTTATATTAGAATGGTAGGGCCCCTGATACATTGAAGTCACTTCAGTGTCCCTCATTTTATGGGCAGTGATTTGATACTTTTTTTTTTTCTTTTTGTTTTTAGAGACAGGGTTTCTCTGTGTTGCCTTAGCTGTCCTGGACTCACTTTGTAGACCAGGCTGGCCTCAAACTCACAGAGATTCACCTGCCTCCCTTAGTGCTGGGATTGCAGGCCATGAGCCACCATGGCCTGGCCCGATTTGATACATTTTTAGAGAGAAATTTAAGTGTCTTATATACTTGAAAAAAGTTCTATATTCATTCACAATTTCCACATGGCAAGAAAACCAGTTGTAAAGAACAGCCATGGAGTCAGTTCTCTAAAAGCTCTTGTCACAAACAGCTTTTCCTTAGCTCTTGCACATGCAGATTTAAAATGTTGTTAGTTCACTCGAATGAACTAACTATGTATGTTCCAAATGCCATGGAGCTAGCTCATACCTTCTGGGCTGTGCAGATGAAAAAGGCAGAAAGCAGAGTTGAATAACTACTCAGATTTAACGCCAGCCGCACCATATTGGGTTGTTTGGTTTCCCTCGAGTTTAAAAGCATGCCCTCTCACTGTGTTTTATCATTATCAGATTTGGGGTCAAAAACCTTTAGAAGCCAGGTGTAGTGGTGCCTGCCTTCAATTGCCTTTAATCCCAGCACTCAGGAGGCAGAGGCAGCTGTATCTCTGAGTTTGAGGCCAGCCTGGAAGTGTGAGTTAGACAGCCAGGGCTACACAGAGAAACCCCGCCTCAAAAAAAATTTTTTTCTCTTACAGCTTACAATGTTGTCTCCAAAATGGTTGCTCTAGCAAAATGTCAGAGGACTTGGGGAGAATAATTGGCTGCATAATGGGCTTGTAGAGCTGGAGTGAGGGAGTACTTCACGGGGGCTTACCATCCCGTTCCCGTTTCTCTTTGTGCTAGAATTTTCATTCAGCAGTTGCTAAGCAGCTGAACTGTGGGCCTTTGCAGTTAGTGTCATAATAGGAGCACTGGTGCTCAGGCTGGTTGACAAGTGTGCACAATCACCATATGGTGTTACTCATAAACAGAATGCATGTGGTTCAAAAAGATCCTGAAACATTTTAGTGTTGCTTATCTTACAAGACCAAGGCCACTTAAAGGTGGGGCTTCATTGCTCTCCCTTCTCTGCACCCTCTCCTACTCTCCCCTGCTCTGGGTTTTTAGAACGGATTTTAATACCGTAGACCAGGCGGACCTCAAGCTCCCAGAAGTCCTCTTTCTCAGCCTTCGAAGTGTGTGAGCCCACCATACCCTCTGCTCATTAATCCTTTTTGTAGTTTCGCTTTACTACCTTTTTAAGTGTAAACTAAACAATGTAATTTTTATTTGCTTAAAAAGCCCACCGTTCTATAGTTTTCAATGGCATTTAACAATCTTTTTCCTTGTATTTATTGACCCAATATAGGGTTTGTCCTCTCTATTGGATCGTGAACGCAACCGTGGGCCTAGAGGTTGCAGCATTCGAACTTCTTTCTTATTTGAGCAAGGTCAGATAATCTGAGACTGGTCTTGAGGGTCGGACAAGTTAGATACAAGCTAGCTTGTTTCGTTGTGAGACCCAGTGTTTACATCAATAAAAGTTCCTACTTCTTCGGTCATGTAAATACATATTATATTGTGAGGTTTACTGCTCTCCTGCTGAGTTGGAGAGTTATGGCAAGAGCGGACGGTGCCGCAGCATTAGGCACTGCCTGCGCTGGAAGGCGCGGCAAACTCCGCACTGTCTTGGGCCAAACTGAGCTGGGCGGGGCTGCGCAGAGGGGCTGCGCACTGGCTCTGTTGCCGGAACCGGCCCGAGCGGCCTGCACGCGTGCGGCCCCGCCTCCGCGGGCGGAAACAAAGGGGGCTCTGCGCGGGGGAAGAGGCGGAGCTCCCCAGGTCCTGCGCTTGGCTGGCTAGGTGTGTGCGGACGAGGGGAGGGCCCGGCGTCCGGAACCCGGAGGCGGGAGGGAGGCCCAGCTCTAGGGGTGTCGCCTGTGCGCGCAGCGCCGGCCACTGCGTCGGCGCGGCCCGTGCGGGTCGGCGAGCGCCGAGGCGGGCTGCGGCGGGCGGGTGCCCTCTCGTGCGGTTGGCAGGCGGGCCTCCGGAGGTCCAGGCGGTTGGGACGCCGGGCGGAAGGGATGAGGCCTCCGAGGTGCTAGCCGGCTCCTTCTGCGCTGGGCGTGCAGCTGTGTTTCCTGGAGAGGTCCCTGTGATGGTGCCAGGAGGAAGGAAGCGCCGTGACAGCGCCTCAGTCGGAACCCGGGTTCCGGGGGCGAGGAGGCCCGGGAACAGCGGCCCTGGCGAGCTGGCCGTCGGCGGGGCGAGCGGTCACTCCTGGAGGCGGCGGGAGCAGCCCCGCAGGGCGGAGCCTCCCCTCGCAGGTACTGGCTGCCGCGCGAGGGCGGTACTGGCCGCGGGAGGCTGGGAGCGGGCGGCAGCGCTTGTTTCCCTGCACTCGGCGCTCTTTGTTCCCGCGGCGGCGGTGCCTGGTCCGCCCTTGCCTGGCTGAGACGCAGGTGGAATGATGTCACCTGGGAGAACTCCGAACCCGGTCAGAGGGGCCTCTCTCGCGCTCTTCTGCCTCCGCGGGTTTCAGGACGGGCTCCGTTTTGTTCTCAGTGGATGGAAGTTCTTCCTTTCAGGGCTGAAGAATGAGAGAGGTTGGTTTTTGAAACGGGAGTTTTTCTAGTTACCAGAGGCCAAAAGAGAAACTAAGTTTGTTTGTTTTTTCCTGTGTGTGATCTGGCGTGGACAGAGCCGGGTCTTTGTGTTGCAGACATGGTGTGTGGTATTCAGTAGGAGTTGAACATACTAATTCTTCTACCATAGTGTTCTGAATACTTAAGTATAGCCTTTGCCAGCATCATATGAATTGCGCTTTCTTTCTTCATAAGCTGTGGACATTGAAATGTATTCGGCGCTCATACACGGTATTTTGTCTGAAATCTTAGGTCTGCCGAATACTGCCTGTATGCAGATAGTATTGTAACATTCACTTATCGCACTTTCTTTAAATAGCAAATAGTTTTGTAACTAGACCTTTTAAGAATTCCAATTACATTTGAATTATAGTCTAACAAAGTAATATTTTGTTCATTTTGGGGAACACTTTAACGGAGAAATCCACCTCATCAGAAAAATAACAAGATCAAAATGTGTCAGATCTGGCACGGAAATGTGGAACACTTAGACCAGGATTACAATTTTGAGTGGGAACTGTATCACCGAATTGTCGATTGCGGTAGTACCTTCTGGTTTATAAGTGTACTAGTATAATAATACATCTTGCCTTTTGAGAACCTGCTCATCCTAAGCCTGCTCATTATAAGGCTCTACTTTAAAATCGATTCCCATATTTTTTCTCTTATCTTGAAAGAACTGGAGGATTTGGAGGCTGCTGTTAGGTTCTGCCCCCAGCAGGTCTTGTTGGCCTCACTTCCTCTAGGTTATTAAACAATTGTATTTAAATATTCTTGATTTTTCCACCAGTGGAGTCTTATTACATTATTCCAAAATGTAGTTGTTTGTGTTTCTACACTTGAAGTTTATGCCCATCTTATCTTGATTTAGAAAACATTAATTTTTTAAATTATAAATATGTATGGACAACTTGCCCAAGTTGGTTCTGTGCCTTGCCTGGTGGGCTGTGGAGGTGGGTAAGGTCTCAGGGTTTATGGCCAGTGCCTTCACACGCCGAGCCGTTCATCAGACCTATCCTATGCTAAAATGGCAAATGTTGATGTGGGTAGGTGTAAAGACTTTTCTTTATTAGAGCAGTTAAATCTTTGACAAAGATAGGAATGGCACTTAAAGGAATCTGCAAGCATCATAATGGAGAGTATAGATCTCCTGTCTCCCTTTACCCCTAGATTTGAATAAGGCTTTTAATTAACTTGTGTTAACATTGCCAGGTTGGCTGTGCTTATATTTTTACTTGGGTTAATGTGGGTAAGAAATGTTCAAAATAAAAAACTCTCCAGAATGGTTAAGTACTTTAGCAAGACCATTGTTCAAGTTGTTATCTTAGTTTGTTCTGTTTTGTATTTTGTGCTGCCTTTGGTTTGGTTTGGAATACTGTTTTGTAATCTCTTATGGGAAGGTAAGATTGGTCTTGATTGTTGCATGGTGTCTGGAGCTGCTTACACGTGTTCTGATTGTTTTTCAATTAAGTGCATATATGAATATAGTTTTAACTTCGGTTCTACTTTGCTTCATTGATAGTTTGCTTTTGTTTTTATCTCCAGGGAACACAAGCATTGCATGTGTTCATTTCTACTATATAGTTCTGGTTCTGTTCCATCTATCAGTAGATATTAAATACCTGTCTAAATACATATTAAATGTTAAATACATTGTCTAAAGAAAATAAATGATTGAATTCTTTGTAGTAATGTCAAGAGAAATTTAAACAGATGAAATACAGGGGTGATAAATACAGTCTCATTTCCTCCCAGGTTAGTTGTATGTATCTCACTTCTCTCTTCCTTACCATTGTGTTATGGCACTGTGGGTTGGGGAAAGGAAAGGGAGCAGCTTAGGGTTATTTTTACCAACCTTGGTTTCGAAAAGACATAGATCCACTTAGTTTGTCTTAACTCAAGAATGGGAATAAGTTTTACTTAACACATGAGTTGCAGTGCTGAACAATGGTGATCACCCTCCCTAACATAGATTATACCAGGTTTTTTGTTTGTTTGTTTGTTTGTTTGTTTTACCCAATTAGTGCCTAGTGACTTTTCAAAAATGGTACACATAAACACAATCAGAGCTCAGAGGACAACCATAGGCATTCAGCACTGCTTATTGTCTTGCTTAGTCAGCTTTCTAATGCAGTCCAGGACCACTTGCCCAGGAATGGTCTCTTGCACACTGCGGCATACACCAGGCTCACTGGCTGATGTGTCGTGGATTCCTCTCCCCATGCTCCTCACTTCACCACAGCAGCACTGGGATCGCAAATGCACACTTTTCTGCCTGTTGTGTGGTTCTGAGGATCAGACCACAAGTTCTCGTGCTTGTGAGAGAAGCAAATTACCCCCCGGAACCACCTATCCAGCACCTCGAGTTTTTATTAGCCTGTTTCATTTTAAGCAGATTCATAATAAACTTGTGACATAATCCGGAAAAGCTGACTGTCCCATCATTTGATTAGCTTGGGAGAATATTCTCTCAATGAGTAGAGTATATACTAGATAATAGTGACAAAGTGCTAAACACAGTATATGTGTTTTGTAAACTAAAATTTATCTCAAATTTATGATGTTCCACATACTTAACCATAATTTTGTTTTGTTTTAAACTTGTTTATTTAGACAAGGTCCCCTACAGACCAGACTGGTTTCATTTACTATGTAGCTGAGGCTGACTTTGAACTGCTGGTTCTCCAAAGTTCTGGAATTATAGTTATGTGCTAACATACTACAATTATGATGTAACATTTACAGATTTACATGCTTTTGACCCCTTTGTTTCAGAGCACATATTTTAGTTTCAAAATTTTTTGGTTTTGCTTTTTATTCCTCAATTCATTACATTTATTTCCAGGAAAGTTGGTGGAACCGAGGGCAGCATTGTGTTAAGCAAATTAAGTCAGAGAGACAAATATGGCATGTTTCTCTGAAGCGAGACCATTAGGGAAGAGAAAGCAGAGTGGGAACATGGAACAGAGTAGAAGAGAAGGCAGGAAGGCATAATGCATAATCAGTCCATGTATAGAAATATCACAGACCCACTGTGTATAGTTTATATATCAATGATTAGGGTAAAAAGATTCTTGATAGGACTTTAGTAGATAAAATTCACCAAGGACAGAAAATGATTAAGGAAAGAAATTAGTGATAAAAGTAGTACATTAAATAAAAAAAACTACATTACCTTATTTTATGTGTGTGCCCCAGCTGTACCAGGGTGCACATGTGGTCTCAGGTGCATTGAAGTCAAGTTTTAAGCAACCTAACTTGTAAAAAGTACATTATTTAGTACTATCACGGAAGTTTTGGTGTACCTCCTTAATCCCAGTACTTACGAGTCTGAGGTAGGATGACTGTGCGTTCAAGGCCATCACCTGTCTTAAAAACAAATGAAAACAACAACAAAACCAACAAAAAGCATACATAGAAGACTGCAAAATCTCTGCTTTGTTTATTTTTATGGGGAAAAATCAACTGAAAAAATTAACTGAAAGCTACCATTAGAAACAATTTTAGAAGGAACAGTGTCTCCTTTAATCCTATTATAACTGCCAATCTCTAAGATAAGGGTTAAATTGTTGATTATTGATGTTATTAGCTATCCAGAGAAGGGCCAAATTAAAGTATCATAAAGTACTAATGCACAGATGCTTAAAAGATATATGTAAACATTAGCCTTACTTCCCAGTTACGCTGGGTGAATTAGTCATATAGTTACATGTAAACAAACAATTAAAAACAAGAAGTTGAGGTTACAGATATACCCCCCTCTCTGGTGTGGTTCTGTGCCAGATAGAAGCTGCACCCTGAGCATGGGCTGCAGTTACCAAATATCTCTGATGCTCAACATTTGCAGGCTAGAGACTGACAGAATTTTATCAATTTAGGAGTGTGGTAAAAATCTTAGAGTTAACCAAAGAAGAATCAGTGAAACTATGCCTAAAACAGTTTTTACAAGGTAACACGTTTATTTTTAATTAACTGAAGGTAGCCTTAAAATTTGGCTTAATGGACTAATGGTAGTCAAACTAGATGATATAAGAACGATGTCACTTTTAAAGTTATTTAAACTGCAAGATGGGTCAGTGAATTAGTAGATTCTAAGGTTAAAGGGCCTGTTTGGTCTTTCTGAGGTACGTGGATTGAATCAGTTCAGTTGAACCTGTACAGTGTATAAAGATCAGAGAGCCTGTCTTAGTTTGCTTCTCATTGCTGTGATAAACACTGTTACCAAAAGCAACTTTGGTTGCTTTTTTTTTTTACTCCTATTTCGCATATATATATATATATATATACACACACATACATACATATATATATATATATATATATATACACACACACACACATACATACATATATATATATATATCTTACAGACCATCATGAAGGGAAGTTAGAGCCTGGAACTCACTATGCAGAGCATGTGGTCTTGAACACAAAGAGATCTTCCTGCTGGGACTAAAGGTGTATGCCACCATGCCCTGCCTATAGGCCAGTTTGATGGTACATTTTTTTTTTTTTCTATTGGGGTTTCCTCTCCTAAACGAAACTTGTCTAGTTGACAAAAACTAATCAGCACAGGACCCAGTTCATCTGTCAGGCAGTTAGCTGTTATCAGGTTGTGGTTTTGTTTAATTACTATATTGTTTAAATAAAAATATCCATGAAGTGGGGAGGGGTCTCTGTGAAATTAAATGCAAGGGCTTGTGTATGCCAGGTGAGTGTTCTACCATTGAGTAATACTAGACCCTATAAAAATGTCTTAGTTTGTAGTGTGTATACTTAGATGTATTATGTTAGCTTTTTGTTGTGTATATCAGATTGCCTAGAATTTAAGTTACAAAACCTGTTACCTTGTATCGAGCTGGTGGTGCAAGTCCTTTGAGAGGCAGAGGCAAGCAGATCTCTGAGTTCCAGACCAGTATGAGCAACATAGTGAGACCCTGTCTCAAGAAAAACAGACAGACAAAAAAGTTGTATGAGAAGTCCTGGAATGAGTTAGCTATTGGGTCTTCTGCTCATTATCTTACCTGGCTGCAGTTGAACTTGGTTGTTCTTTTTTGAAATCCTTGGTTGGTAGAATATGGTACTCCCCATTTGCTCATTGTTAGCTGGTAACTTCTCCATTGCCTGTGGCTCCTTTCATCTCTCAGTACTGCAGCTTGGTTTGAAAGGCTGACAGAGAGCTCAGGAATGGCTCAGTTCTGCCTTTTAGGAACTTTCTCTGATTAAGCCAGGCCCTCTTAGGCTGATCTCCCTCTTTAACTTGAAATCAGTTGTTGGAATCTGGAAAACACTTTGAAGCATTCTTACTTTGTGTGGGGGGTGGTTATACATGAGTGATATGGTAACATCTTTCTAGTCTGCTTTACCACATGCTACACACAAATAAAATGTCTGTAGACATACTGTGAGGGTATGTGCTGGTTTTGATCAAGTCCAGCAGTGGTTTTAGCATATATACTGTAGGCCTTGAATATAATTCTTCCACCACATTGTCTTGCTTAGAGTAAATGGAGTTTGACGGAAGAAAACTGCTGTGCATAGGAAAAGATGACCGTGAGAGCTGTTAACATGACAATAAGAGCCAGGGTGCCAAGGTTTTTGTTTTTTACTTATTTGATAGCAATCTTAAATTTTCCAAAAGAATAAAGCTGACTCTGATTTCTGTTTTACCAGCCAGGTACTTGTACTTGTAAATCTGAGCATGATTGTTGATGACCTAATTAAAACACACTACAAGGCTAGACAGATGGCTTAGCAGTTAAGAGCACTGGCTGCTCTTTCAGAGGACTTGAGTTCTATTCTCAGTAGCCACATGGCAGCTCACAGCTGAATATAATTCTAGTTCAGGTGAGCCAACAACCCCCTCTCTTGGTCTGGTATGCACAGATACACACAAAACATCTTTTTTTTTGGGGGGGGGGATACTACAAATTTGCCTACTGTGACTATAAAAAGCCTAAGAGGATTGCAGGTAGGGTACTAAACTTACAGCTCATTTGGAGTGAGTTTGTGACATTCCTTATTGAATGAGGATCAAGAATAGCAAATATACCTTTCATCTATTTTGGGTTTGTTTTGAGAAAGGGACATACTGTGTAAGGCTGGCCTGGAGTTTGTAACAGCCCTCTCTCAGCCTCTGAAATGCTCTGAGTAGTGGCGTAAGCTATTTCAAGACTGTTTGAACTTTTTTCCTTTTGCTTTGCTGGGAATCAAACCCACCTTTTATTTTTCATATCCTTACTATGTTTCCTTACTACACTGCTCTCTGCCAGGTATCAGAGCACAGCACTGAGTGTCTACTGTTATCAAAATACTTGCTATACAATGGTTTACTATTTTCTTTTTCTTTCTTTCCCCGTTTCCTTCCTTCCTTTTAAAACCTATACTTCAAAAAGGTAGGAAACCATGTGTTTCTTTTTGTTTTGTGCCTGTTACCAAGGAGACTCTTAAATCTAAGACTGAGGGAAGGAGTGAGGCAGAAACTGGAAAAGCATTGTGTTAAGCACATGCTTTTTAGTGTGAGGACAAGCAAGTCTTTAAACCTAGAGTCCCCAAAGAGAATTTCACTGTCACAACACAGTGAAGAGCGTTGATGGTTTTAAAATGCTGCAGATTAAGTATATTTACACCAATTTAAGGAGATTTAATCCATGGTGTAGTAGTTTGAAGCTGCAGTTGTTTACTTTCAGGCTTATCAGTTTGCCTTTGGCTCCTTAGCGGAGCCTCTCGTTTTCTGTTGTTTGGCCTTTTGTTACTGTTTGAGGATTTTCACTTACTTTTTTATCTTAAGTCAGCCCAGGCTGACTTAGAACTTGGGATGTCCTTGTGTTAGCCTCCGCGGTGCTGAATGAATATAGCTAAAGCTTATTGAATGCTTTCCCCAGTTAAACATCATTCTATATGTTATATGTTGTACAGTCTTACAGCTGATAGTATAGAAATTTTACCATGAATATTGTTACATCTTGTCTTTCTCATCATGGTCACTTGTAAACTCAAAGTACAAGTTTGAGTACAATTGAGAAAAAATACAGTGTAGGCAGACATTTATCGCTCTGTAGTTAGGTGATTTTACCTCAAGTCTTAACATGAAGTCTGACCTTTAGGGTTTTAGTTAACACCAACAAAAGACTATAAGTAGGTATTTGGGGAACAAGAAGGATTAAATTCCGAGCTGTGATGTTTTTATCTGAAGCCTTTTTGTGTGGGAAAGCTCCATTGCTAGAGGAGTCTCTGCCTCCTGTATGTTTAGATATTTAAAGTTACATTTTTTTTCCTAGTCTTTCTGCTGACAGAATTATCAAATAATAGAAAACCCAAACTGTCCTTCACAGTCTTGATTCTCCATATGGTATGGCTAGCCATGAACTATCCTTTTCTTCTCCCTCTTTTTCCCAGATATCTCCCGGGGCCAATTCAGCACCTCTACCTGGCCATCCTAACAAGGTGATTTGTGAAAGGGTGAGACTTCAGAGCCTGTTTCCTCTTCTCCCAAGTGATCAGAACACTACCGGTCAAGAGGATGCTCACTTCAAAGCTTTCTTCCAGGTTCTTATATGTTTACCCTTTCCCTACACAGGCCTGACAGTCACAGATACATCCAGCTTGTTTGTAGGCAGACTTAACCACTTCTCAGTATCCTCTTATTTTCTGTTGTATGTATTTGGAAATACTCTTTTAGAGGGCTTCTTCAATATAGCCTTCAGCTCTTCTGAAAAATGTCCTCTTGAGCAACTATTCATTGTTTGACCACTTAATACTCTGTTTAAAAAATAATAATCTTTTTGCCCTAATCGTTTTAAGTCATTCAGTTCCTGTGGGAAAATAGAAGATAAAATATGTAAGATATATAGGAAAGGAAAAATGAAAGTATGTGTTTTTTAACCCATCACTATTTGCTTAGTACTATATTTTCTTTCTGTACCGCTTAGAACCTGTAGATAAAAATTTGATTTAAAAAAATTTAATACAAGATGAAAATGAGTACAGATACTAAAATTGTCACTGAATTTAACAAGATTTCTAGAATATCTCATACAAATCACTGGCTACTGAATTTTGATTCCAGATACCTAGAGAAGCATGCTTTAATAGTGAAGTCATTGTCACTGCTCCTCCAGAATAAACTACATCTACAGATTCACTTTTGAGTGGTAGGCATGTGGGCGAAGGCGTGTGTGTGCCTGTATAAAATCTGCCTCAAGTGCTGACATAGTTGATGACCAAGACTAACTGTTTTCCATAGAAGCCACTCAGTGTTTGTATTGAAGTGACAGGTTGTCACCTGGGACTGGTTAAAGAGAAATATTTAGGGTATATTAAGTTCGGCATGTGGATCACCTGCAGGTGATCCAGGGTTCATTAGTCTGGTATTCCTTTAAGAATTCGAGCTAGATTCTCTGCTATGTGTATATTGATTGCATCTGATTGCTTTAAATCTGAGAATAAACTAGGCATCTTGTTGTAGGTAAGGAAATAGGCTTTTAAAAAGATGAAGGTGCACAGTTCCATCTGATTATTTGTACAGCAAAGGACTGGTCTGATTTTAGTTGAGTTATGATTACTGTATCATACTACTTTTAGATATCTATATCATTTCTGTAAGTACATTTTATAAGTATTTAACACATAACTGTTTTGGGGGCATGGCTGTCTGTGAATTGAATGACATATTGACTACCATTTTGATTACAGCATTATCTGTACACCGAAGCTCAATATAATTAGTAGGTGACTGGTACTGAAGAAATTTAAAGCCAGTCTTGGTAGCAAGTGTCTTTAATCCCAGCACTCCTGAGGCTGAACAAGGCAGATTTCTGCAAGTTCAAGACCTAGCCAGGACAGTCAAGGCTACAGAGAGAGACCTTATTTCAAAAACCAAACAAAAAGGGAACAAAACAACAACAACAAAAAGGAACCAAACAAAAAAACAGAAGGAAAGAAACTGACTTAAAGCTGGACATGATGTAACAAGCCTTTAATCCCAGTTTGGGAGAGACAGGCAGATGTTTTGAGGTCTAGGCCAGCCTGGTCCACATAGTGAGTTTCAGGCTAGCCAGGGCTATCATGTTTCTGCCCCCCACTCCAAATCATCACGGAACCTAAGGCCACTAATACATATTTTACATTTTCTGTGTCCTCCATATTCTGTTGGAGGTTTCAGGAATCAATATTAACTTTAAACTTAGTAATTACAAATGCAGTAGATTAAAACCCATGTGTTTAAATAAAACAGTTAAAAGTTAGAGCCAGCTGTACTTGGTGGGTTTTTGTTTTGTTTTTAAGCTTTTGGCAACTGAACTGAGGGCTTTGCCCATGTTAGTTACATGTTATACCCCCTAAATAACTACTTATATTCTACACCCTCTAAGTATGTTTCTCACTCTAACTAGTCATATGGTACACTAATCCCTGTGGCTTATTGAAAAGAAGTATTACAGTTTTGTTTATACTGCTAATTTAGTTTTTGTTCTACCTTTAGAACAAGACAAGACCTTCTCTTTATTCTTTAGGGGAAGACCAGAGATTTTCTCTACTCAGATTTTCTGCCCTGGATGAGAAATTAGATCGCTCTTAGGAAGTCCTAAGAGATACAGATACACAGCTGATTCTCATGTGTAAATGAGTGTCATTTGTTAGTTCCAGCTGGACTTCTCCTCTTAAAAACCTGTCTTTCTGCAGACATTACTTGACATTGCTCGATGGTTAAGAGCACTTCCTGTTCTTACCATGAATTGTGGAGAGGGTCCCAATGCCACTTCAGACAGCTCACAAAACACTTGTAATTCCAGCTGTAAGGGATTGAAATACTGTTCTGGCTTCCTTGGGCTACCAACACACACTCACACAGACACATAGAATGAATAAAAATAAAGCCTGGTTAACACATGAGAAGGGATCCTCAGAAAGTCATTCCCTTACTTACTTTGTTCTCAGTTTTTGTCTTTGTCTTTCCCCAGATACCTTCTTTGTAACCTTTACTTTGCCTTCTTTCTTAAAAAATTTTTTTTGAAGATTTTATTTGTGTGTGTATGTACATGGGCACATACATAGGCCCTGGAGCTATGGCAGGGTTGTGAGCCACCTACATAGATAACTAATGGGAGCCAAGAGAAATTATGTACTGTTAAATGTCAAGCCATCTCTTCAGGGCTTGTTTTTTTTTTTTTTTTTTTTTTTTTTTGTTATTATTTGTTTTGTTTTGTTTCTTTCAGTATTTTGTTAAAATTTTCAGCCAAGGACTTGCTGTATTCAGGCTGGCCTTGAACTTGTGATCCTCCTGCCTCAGTTGGTATTACAGTCTCCGCTGCCCCGTTCAACCTTTTTGTTTTTTCTCTTTTCTCTCACACAACACCCTTTCTGTTTCCTAGGTGAAGTTCCCATTTTCTAAGAACTCAACTCCTCTGTAGATTTCTTCAAGCATTAAAATAATTATTTTTACTGTAAGCACGGAATTGGACATGTGGCTCATTATTAGGACAGTCATAGCAGAGAAACTATTACTGTTTATCCTTACTCTTGTTTCTACAGTTTTCACTACCTTAGGAACAAGGAGGCTAGGTTGGCAGGGACCCCTAAAGACCTACCTGTCTCTGCCTTCTTAGCACTGATACCTGCATTTATGTACTACCAGACTCCCTCTAAGTGACTCTGGGCCTCTGACCCAGCTCCTAATGTTTGCAAGGCAAACACTTTACTGGCAGAGCTGTTTTCCTAGCCCAACCTTCCTAACCATGTGACCCCTTAAGGCAGTACTCATGATGTGCTGACCCCCAACCATAACATTTTATGGCTACTTTGTAACTGTAATTTTGCTACTGTTAGGAATTATAATGTAAATATCTGATACGTGACCCTTGTGAAAGGCTTCTTCAACCCCCAGCCTGGACTCGGAGGTTGAGAGTCACTGCCTACCTGCCACCAGTGCTAGTGGACAAAAAGAAAAAGCTTGTCACTTACGACCATTGTTTACTCTGTTAACATTTCTGTACCTTGATCGTGCGTGCGTGTGTGTGTGTGTGTTGATGCACAGGCCAATCTTCATGTACTTTGTCTTTTGAGATAGGGTCTCACAGGCATGGAACCTACGTAGAGGGTTACAGGGTTACACTGGCTAGCCAGTGACCCCCAGGGACCCTCCAGTCTCTGTCTGATCCCAGTGCTGGGATTTTTATGTGGGTTTTGTGGATAGAGTTCAGGTCCTTAGGCTTGCATGGCAGATGCTTAAATTACCGAGCTATTTCCCCAGCCTGATTTCTCTCCTTTGTTTTGTACAACTTTCATTTTCATAAACAAACATAAATAAACCAACAAAACATGCTTCAGAATTTTTGTGCATTGTTGATTTTTTTGTTTACTATTTTATGATCTGGTTGAGAAATAGGGCTATATAATGAAATATTGTTTCATTCAAGAGTATCAGAACTGTATGTTAACATACAAACTGTCATGTCAAAGAGAATAATGCACCATGTGTAAATGAGGGATAGTTGTCTTTCAGTTAGCTTTACTAAGAGACACATTTTAAGTACATCTGAACATAACTTGACTTCAGCTTATAGAGCATTAACTGAGGTAACTCATAGCGGTCGTTTTGTAAGCTGTATTGTGATCTGAATATGAAATTTCTCACGTTCCCATGCTCATGTTTTCATCCATCTCAAAATGTAAAACAAAAACCAAGTTATGCTTTACTGTCAAATTACTTACATAAAGTGTGTTACTTTTCTGCATACCTTCACATTTATGTAAGATGCATAAAATTCATTGAATTTGATGTTTTGGGGTGGTATGTGTTCAGCTGACTGTTTTTTAAGTTGTAAAATGTTTTCTTAAAGATAAGACTTAACAAAGAAAGTCTGGGAGTTTCTAAGAGAATTGGAGCCTTAAATTATGCTGTGCTTGACCTAAGATGAAGTTCTGAATAAGACTTGAAGAAAGCTATGTTTCTTTTCCCTCCCTCCCTCCCTCCCTTCTTTCCTTCCTTCCTTCCTTTCTTTTTCTTTTTTTTCCTTCGGTTTTTCAAGACAGGGTTTTTCTGTGTAGCCTTGGCTGTCCTGGAATTGCTTTGTGGACCTGGCTGTCCTCAAACTCACAAAGATTCACCTGCCTCCCTGAGTGCTGGGATTAAATCCTTGTACCACCAAGCCTGGTCCTATGTTTCTTTTCTTGTTGCTGCAACAAAATAACTAAGTCAGGTAGAGAAACTGATTTTAGCTGACAATTTGAGGTTATGGGAAACTGATTTTAGCTTACAATTTGAAGTTAGGGTCCATTCTGGCTATGGGGATGTGAATCAGTGGGGTCTCAGCTGTGCTAGGTATTCAAGAAGCACAGTGGCTCAGCCTCCTTTCTTGGTTCATTCCAAGACCCCAGTCATCGTATTTAGAATGGATATTCTCTTCTCACTTAATCTTATCTAGAGACTTCACTTCTCAGACATGCTCATGGGCTTGATTCCATGGTGATTATCCTGTCACGTTGTCACTCAAGATGAACTTTTACATCTTATGATCCAATTCCTCCTTTGTGAATAAAATTGTCAGAAAGTACAATGGTTGCTAAAGTCACCAGGTAGAACCTGAAACCTGCTTCTTTTTTATGTTCATCGTAAAACTTCATATATACCCTCCGGCCTTCATTCCTCCATGGATTCCTAATCTGTACCAGTGTTCTATACAGTAGAGATAGTAACTGTGATTTAACAGCTTTACATTTAAATTGTCAACATCTGGTACATTGAAAAGTCAGCCCACTGTTACGGAAAAGAATTCTTCCCCCTAAAAATTCAAAACCAAATTTTCCTCAAAAAGACAGTCCCTTCTATCTTAATTCAGTGGTTATGGGTCTTGGAGTATGGTTCCAGCAGCAATTCTATATCAGAAGTAGCAATTCTTGCTGGGTAGGTGGGGAACACCTTGTTTGTTTGTTTGTTTTTTAAAGATTTATTTATTTATGTGTACAGTTTCCCTTCGTGTATACCTGCACCCCAGAAGAGGGCACCAGATCTCATTATAGATGGTTAGGAGCCACCATGTGGGTGCTGGGAATTGAACTCAGGACCTTTGGAAGAGCAGTTAGTGCTCTTAACCTCTGAGCCATGTCTCCAGCCCTAGAAAACACCTTTTTAATCCTGGCATCCAGGAGGTAGAAGCAGGTGGATCTCTGAGTTGAAGGACAGCCTGGACTACATAGACACTGTCTTCAAAAACAAACAAGCAAACAAACAAAATGTGATGGAGTACCACTTGAACTGGGCCTAGTTGGAGTCTGGGCTACTTGTCTGTAATTTGCAAGTTTTCTCAGAATATAAAAACTGGGCTTTCTTATAAAAGAAATTAAAAAGTATATTTAGTGCCATCAAAAGAATATAGGATAAGGTGCTGTTTTGGTGATACGTCTAAATAATTTTGAAGAATCACAAGTAACCTTTTAGCTTTTTGTTTGTTTGCTTGCTTGCTTGCTTGCTTGCTTTAATTTAAGAGACAGGCTCTCATGTAGCATATACATAAGCTGGCTTTGAACTCACTATGTAACCAAGAATGACCTCAGATTACCAATCTTCTGGCCCTCGTCTCTCAAGTGCTCTAAATACACTGTAGGCCCAGCCCCATTTATTAATTTGTTTTGTTCCTAAAATCAGTTGTTTTCTTTGCTTATTGCTTTAAAATTATGACATTAGGGGCTCTAGAAAGGTAGCTTACCAGTTGAAAGCACTTGCTGCTCTTGCATCGGACTGGGTTTAGGTTCTGTACCTCCCCTTAACGCCATACCTGCTAACAGTTTATAACTCTAGTTCCAGGGGATCTGATGTCCTCTTATGGTCTTCACAGGCATTGGATGCATCTTGTGTATAGACACTCAGGCATAATAACCATATGCATAAAATAAAAGTAATCTTTTTTTAATTTTAAAATTACAGTATATATCCCTGTATATTTTGCTAATGTTTTGATGTATTTGTGTTCACAAATATCAACTATTTTGTAAACCAACAAAGTATTCTAATGCCTAATAGTTAGAACTTGGGGATGTAGATTAGAAATAGGAACAGTCTTTTCAAAGAAACTTAGCTGGTCAGATTTTCAGCTAATTTGGAATTTTGGCAGTTTCGGTGAGACTTAATGGACAAATTGAATTGGCTGGGGAATCCTGGAATTAATAGAGGTTACATGATCATATAAATTTTATAGCTACAAACCTTATACTGTGACCTTAGAGCATTAGATGATAATCCCCAAGTGCTATGACATTCTAAAAAAAAGAATTGTTAATCTTAATCAGTTGTTTCTTGACACTCCCAAAGTGCTATGGCAGTCTAAAAAAACTTGTTGGTCTTAATCAGTTGACTCTGCTTCATAAAAATTTAATTTTACCCATGTGACTATCTCTGGAGAAATAACTGTATTAGCCCAAATAACAAGAATGGCAAGGGTATGTAATTTAGCATCTGAGTTTGGGGCCTATTCAGGAAAAGGGGAGGGCTTCTCCCTAACCAAACGACATCACCTCCTAAAGGATGAACTGATTGCTTATAGCGTAATGATATTTCTCAGGTGGGTTAGGATTTCTAGGCTGTTGTAAATCTGTTATCTGACATGGTAGTTTTTGAAATGGTTCGTTTTTTACATATATATTTACCGTGCAACCGTTTTCTTGTTATCTCTGCCCCTACATTTCTTAATATAGGATTTTTAATTTGGATTGATAGTATAATGTATATCCCTTATGTTTTTTTATGGAAAATATATTTTAAATACCTATTGCAAATACAGTAATGTGAAATCCTTATGGTTTTATTCAGCTGCTCATTTTTGTTGCATTGGCAGAGTGAAGATAGTCCAAGTCCTAAGAGACAGCGCCTCTCTCATTCAGTCTTTGATTATACATCAGCATCACCCGCTCCCTCACCACCAATGCGACCATGGGAGATGACATCAAATAGGCAGCCTCCTTCAGTTCGACCAAACCAGCATCACTTCTCAGGGGAACGATGCAACACACCTGCACGCAACAGAAGAAGGTTAGTTGATAACTGTTTGTTTCTTTCTTTCTTGCATTGGTGGATTTGTGAATAGTTTTTAATGACAGAAAGCATATTTTTATAGATATTTCATAAACATGTCAGTACATGTACATACATATATCCATGCATAAAATTATTAAAAGGTGTTCAGGTTTCTTTCTTGGGTTATAAAGAGTTCATTAAGCTCTTCAATAGTAAGTGAAGAAACTGAAGGAGACTAAAGTGATTTACCTAAGTGTCAGTCTAGGCCGTTATATATAAATTTAACTACCTTCTGCTTTATTTAGGACTGATTATGAATCTAGGCTACTAAGGGTTCATTATTTGTCCAGTATCCACAAAGTCCTGCACTCAGTACCCCTAATACACACCCCTTCTTATGGGATAGCCTACAATCCTGGTAACTAAAAAGTGTTCTATACCTCATAACTATCAGAATATATTAGAGCTTAGAGATGACATCTCTAAGCTTACATCTGCCCTTCCACAATCCTCATATCTTTAAGAGCTTTATTTCTTAGAAAACTGGTATAAAGTCAAGATGCAATTTAGTTCATCTTTTCAGTAGAGCTTGAATCTTGCCTTTCCTTCTCAGGGAATTTCTTCCTCAGCAACTTGTCCTTCAGTTGCCAGAGATTACTTTCTTATTCCAAGGAAATCAGTATCTCTTTGGGACCTAATAAACAGTAGTCAGGAATTAAGTTAGGAAACTGCTAGGAAACAGTTCAGGAAACTGACCCATTTAGGAAACTAAATGCTTTTGTGCCTCTACACAAAGAACTCATGTATTGAAGCGTTAACCTTTGTGATTGTTGGAAATAGACTTCTAAGGAAGTTGTTGAAGTTCGGTAAGTTTGCAAGGGTGGGGCCCTCGTCTGATAGGGATCAGAGAGCTCACTCTGCTGTGCCAGACGTGATGCAAGCCAGGAACAGAGCTCCCATCAGAACTCCAGGTCATCTGGCATGGTGGCACATGCCTGTAATCCCAGCACTCTGGGAGTTAGAGGCCAGCCAAGACTACACAGAGAAACCCTATCTTGAAAACAAAAAAAAAAGAAGAAGAAGAAGAAGGGGAAACACCTCCAGGTCAGATAGTTACACCTTGGTCAGAGACTGGTAACCCTAGAACTTGGAGAGAATAAGCACATATTGAAGACATTTCTCAGGTTTACAGCATTCTTAGAAGAATAAATAGATACAGTCTTAACAACTACCATTGATATCACAAACCAGCCAAAATAAATCTATGTCAGAGTGTCTCAACAGACATTTAACACTTTTTAAATACCCAGTACTATATTAGGCAATTATATGGAAATATTTGAGTAATTTATGGCTACTAGGCAAATTATTTCTATAAAAGTTATAGCTTAAATACCTAGCTGTATATAGTCTTTTTCCAATTTATGGTGAACTGTTTGCTGTGCATTCAGAACATGTGAAACAAATATACAATCAGAAGGGTAACATGTATTAACTCCTAGATTAAAACTGGCTTCTGATAAGCTGCCTCTTAATACAGGCACGGGTGCACAGATGGACACACACCACAAGCATGTGCACCCATGCCATGTCTTCTTCCTTCCAGGGGAGTAAACTTGTACTTTATAGATCCCTGTTTGGGATTTTGTTTTCATTTAAATGTATTCTTTGATTTTATTAAGCATCTGTGTTTAATGTTGATGGAAAATTTATTTTTAAATTTTATGTACGTTAGTGTTTTGCCAATATGTATGTCTGTGTGAGGGTGTTGGGTCCCCTACAACTGGAGTTGCAGTTGTGAGTCACCACATTGGTGCTGGAATTGAACCTAGCCCTCTGGAAGAATGGTCAGTGCTTTTAACTGCTGAACCATCTCTCCAGCCCAGCATTTATTTTTTACTGTGGTGTAATCTTGCATTAAAGTAGGGCATTTATCTGCCTACTATTGGTTAGTAGTTGTGTCCAGGATATTATTACTATAAAGAGTACTATTAGGAACTTTTGAACACATACCTCATTTAAATGTACTGATGGTGCATTAGAAATAAGCCAAAACTATAAATGGATGGCAGTGTATGTTTACAGATGAGATAGTAACTAGCTTTTGTTTATAAATCTGCAAAAAGAATCATTCTCTTCTCTCATGGAAATACAAAAGAGGAGCAGGCAATACAAAATACTTAGCAACCATAAAACAGTAATATGAATTGCAACCCAGCAAATAAATACCCATGATTCTATCCCAATAATAAACAGCTAAGTCCTGGCAAGGTAGCTCAGAGCGTAAGAGTGCTTGTTGCCAAGTCAGACAACATGAATTTGATCCCTAGGATTCACATAGTAAGAGGAAAGAATGATGTTCTGCAGGTTTTCCTCTTACACAGAAGTACGCCATGGCATGTGTGCACACCCCTCCCCCCAAAAAATGTTAAAGAGGGAGTAGTAACTTCCTTATGAAACAATTCCCTTAATAAATGTGGAAATGTGAGTAATAGAAAAATCTCTATCAGAGCAACACAGTAGCAGTCCTTGCAGATCCATGCTTGTTAAAAATCACTGGTGAGTCTTATGTTTAAATTAGTTGGTTTTAAAAATTGATTTGGAACCATTCAGTTCTTTATTACTTCAGCTTACCTTAGCATATATTATTTACAAGAAACATAATAAAGAATCCTGATGGATCATGCTAGTAAGCATTACAGTAATGACCTTCTTTTTGGCATTTACCCTATTATAGTCCTCCTGTTAGGCGTCAGCGAGGAAGAAGGGATCGTCTGTCTCGACATAATTCCATTAGTCAAGATGAAAACTATCACCATCTCCCTTATGCACAGCAGCAAGCAATAGAGGAACCTCGAGCCTTCCACCCTCCGAATGTATCTCCCCGTCTGTTACATCCAGCTGCTCATCCATCCCAGCAGAATGCAGTCGTGGTGGACATGCATGATCAGGTACAGTAGCAAAATGTCTTGGGAATAAAAATGGTAAAAGTTAGTGGCTGTTTATTAGGATTCATTGATTTTGTTGTTATACATTTCTGTAATTCCTGAAATGTAGCTATTTAAATTCTCCATTCCATTTAATAATGGAAATTTAACCAAGCATTATGGCACACACCGTGGATTCTAGCAAATCTCCAAGGCCAAAGGAGGGCTACAGTAAGACCTTATTCCAATGAATAAATGAATGAATGAATGAATGAATGAATGAATGAATGAATGAATGAATGAAAGAAAGAAAATTAACAATTTTAAATTTAAATTCTACAGAGGATAAAAACTCAAAGGGAAAAAAATTAAAATAACATGAAAGAAGAATCAGTTTTAACAAGTGCTTCAAAGGATTGTATACAGAAAATTATAAAACATTGTTGAGGAAATTGAAAGAAAACCTGTGTAAAAGATGAGTTGGTTTGAAAGGTCCAGTTGTGTAAAACCTATCAGTTCTCAAAATGTAGACTAGAGGAATTAGTGGAGTTCCAAATAAGATTACAGTAGATTTTTAGTATAACTTAAAAAGTTGATCATGATTTTTGACTTTTTTTTCCCCCCCTGAAACAGGGTTTTTCTATATAGCCCTGGCTGTTCTAGACTTTCTTTATAGACCAGGCTGGCCCTGAACTCACAGAGATCTGCTTGCCTCTGCTTCCCTGAGTCCTGGGATTGTAGGCATGCGCCACTGTGCTGGCTCTGATAATTTTTTAAAAAATCTATAATTCATAGAAAAAAGCAAGCTGTTGTTGTTTTGGTCAAGTTTTATCCTTCTTTAGCTCTATATGCCTGTTTATCATCTACAGCTACTATATTTAGACTACAGACCTAAAGTACTGATTTCTGCTTTGCCTTTTAAGGAAAAAACAAACAAACAACACAGCTATACCTCTTAGCATAAAGACTCAAGCAAATATCTTTCTCATACGATTTTTTTTAAGTGTATGAGTGTTTTGTATGTCTGCATACTTTGTATACTTTGTGTATGTCTCATGCCCATGGAGGCCAGAAAAGGTGTCATATCCCATGGAACTAAAGTTACAGATGGCTGTAAACCACCATGTGGGTCCTGTGCAGTAGTTCGTAACCACTGAGTCATCTCCCCATCTCCTGAAAGTAATTTTTAATTGGATGAATGGAAACAGCAACACTTAGACATTCATTTTAAAAATGCCACTTCAGAGCTGCTAAGATGAATCAGCAGGTTTAAAAAAAAAAAAACTTCTGCTGCCATGCCTAGAACTGAGCTCAGTCCTTAGGACCTACATCGTGGAATCAGCTCCCACAGGCTGTCTTTTTATCAACACACACAAACACATTAGCTGGTTTGTTTCTTTGTGGTTTTTGAAGACAGGGTTTCCCTGTGTAGCGTTGGCTGCCCTGGACTTGCTTTGTAGACCAGGCTGGCCTCAAACTCACAAAGATGTGCTTGCCTCTGCCTTCCTGAATTCTGGGAAAGCTGTTTATTTTAAAATGCCAATTCACAGATTGTACAGTAGACTTAATTATTTAGACCCAGCAATATAGGTTAATAGGCTTTCTAGGTAGTTCAAGTCTTTACTTCACTTAGCTACTGTTGCATAATCTTGAAGAAAAAAAGCATAAGCAGACATAGCAATTCAGCTTTTTCCCCCAGGACTGGGGCGTAAACTCCATGTCTTGAATTAAAAAACCAAGGGTTTTTTTTGCATCTATACCAGGCATCTTACTACTGAGCTCATATCCTAAGCAGCATTTTCAGTTTTACTTCCAATTTTTAGGACTTAATAAAGGCATCTATGCCATGGTCAGTGATCTAATGAAACAGATTATAAAGCCTAGAAATAAGGCGGCACATCTGTGGATACTTTGATTTGATATATGGTGATAGTTGAATTGTAAGATGGCAGGGACTTTAGTAAATGATGTTAAAACGGTTAGGTATCCAGAAAGGTAGCTTATGAGTAGCTTCATTTCCTTCAGGAGAAAGGGCTTTCTTGAATAAGAACAGAAAAAAGTAAACAAAATTACTGGTACATTGAATATAATTAAAAATTCTCAGTTTCGGTGTTTGTTGTTAGACATAAATATATATTGGTTATTTAATTTTTTTTGGCCGATTACCAAAATAATTCAAAAAAGAGGAAGGAAGGTTTTTAGCACTGGTGCAGTAATAACACAGAATTTATTTGTAAGAGTTTGAACTTTAGCTTCTACTTTATATCATATGCAGAAGTTAGTTCCAGTAGGGATGGGAATGTGCCTCAGTTGATTAGTGTTGCCTTGCATACACAAGGCCATAGGTGTGTTCTTCCATTGTCAACTAAGATACAGTGGTGCAACTGTAATTCCATTACCCAGGAAGTGGAACCTAGTGTATACGGAAGTAGCAACCCTTGACAAAGCCCAGGGAGGCAGAAGCAGGCGGATCTTTGTGATTTCAAGACCAGCTGAGTCTAGGACAGCCAAGGCTGCATAGAGAAACCCTGTCTCAAAAAATAAAAAAACAAGTTGCAGTGTCTTTCAAGATGGCTTAGTAGGTGAGGCCCATGATGCCAAGCTTGACCACCTGAGTTCAGTCCCCAGAACCCACATGGTGCAAGAAGAGCACCAGTTCCTCCAAGTTGTTGTCCTCTTGATTTCTGAGTGCACCTAAGCATGTGTGCTTCCAAATATAGATACACATGATAGTAATAATGGGGAAAAGGAGATGGCTCGGTAGATATTGGTCCTGCCCCATAATTTTGAGGAATGGAATTAAGATGAACATAAAACTCAGTTGAGCCGAGTGGACTGCCTTTAATCCCAGAGGTGGAGATAGCAGATGGCTGGGGCAAGCTGCCCAGCTAGACCAAGCTGAATCAGAGAGCTCCAGGTCAGCAAACATGGTTTTGACAACAGTGGAGGCTTCATGAAAAAGAAAGTGTTAAATGGTTAATAACCTATGCCAAAAAAAAAAAAAAAAAGTTTAACATCTATAGTTAGAGAAATGCAAATTTAAATCAGATGTGCTGTACCATTTCTCACTCTGATATGCAAAGCATGTTAGTGATCCACATCTTTGAGAAGAGATGCTAGGTAGGAAACGGGTCATTTTATGTCACTGTTGGCATTTGGCTTACTTACTATAGCCTTTTCAGGTGATTAGATGATATAGCTTTACATTTTTTAATATGAGTCTGGAGACATGACAGAGGAGTTAAGAGTCCTTTCTGCCCTTATAGAGGAATAGAGTTAGGTTCTTCTTAAGCACCTGCTTTGGAAGGCTCAGAACCCACAGTTTCACAGTTTGATAACCTCTGGCCTTTACAGGCACCTGTGTAATAAACTCACACAGGCACATGCTTACACACATGCATTCAAATGATAAATAAGTCTCTCTCTTTAAAATCTGAAATGGATCCCCATCTCCTTACCTTATGCTTTGAGATAAGTAATACTAATACTAATAAAACAGCATGGTGATTTTTGTTTTGTTATAGATGTGTTTATAGTTGCAAAAGAGTAATGACAGGTTGAGTACCTATATCCTAATTAGCAAACAAGTATTCTTGAAATATCTGGTTAGCCTCAGAGAAATGAGGGAAAGGCATAGCTACAGTATTACATGGAAAAAGAAGGTTAGGCATTACTTACATATTTATGAAGGGGCTGGGAATGGAACCCAGAGCTTTGAGCAAGTACACTGACACTAAGCTTTGTATCCCTAACCCAGATTTAATTTTTAATACCTCTTTCATTCCTTCACCTGTTGAAACTAGATAAAAATATTTTTATTTTGGATATGAACAAAACACATGCTCTGTGTGGGAGAGGGCTCAGCAAGTGAGAGCACTGGCTGTTATTGGAGAGGACTCAGGTTCAATTCCCAGTGTCCAAGTGACAGCTAGCAACCACCTGTAGTTAGTTCCATGGGATCCATTGCCCTTTTCTGGCTTGAGTGGGCACTGCATTTAAATGGTCCACAGACCATGCAGGCAAAAACACCTGTATACCTAAAAAGTCAGAATAATTATTTTTAAAAATTCACAAGCTTTAATATTTATAAAAGATTGTTTTTAGGAGGCAGGCTGAAAGAGTTAACATTCTAAATAGTTTTTTTCTTATTGATTCATTGTGAATTTCACATCATGTACTCCATTTCCACGCATTTACCAGTCCCTCCATATCTGCCCTCTGCTCTTGTAACCTAACCTCCCCCCTACAGAAAACAAAAACCAAACAAACAAACAAAAAAGGAAATTTTGCAATGATTTGGTTAAAGGCCTCTGGCTTCTGCCACACTTTCAATAATGGATAATAATGGATCCTTACTGGGACTCCTCAGATTTTCCGTTGTGCCCTGTGTCAGGACGATCCTTCACTTTTGGTTCTACAGAACTGGCCCCTTTCAGAAGTTCATAGATAGGCTAGATGTTGGGGTAAGCTAACTCAAAGCCCTGGATCTGGGCCTGGGTGGTAGCTGAGTTGGTATGCCTGCCAGCTCTCCTGAAGTAGAACTACAAGGGCAAGCTCTCCCACATTGCCCTTGTGAGAGCTGGACAGGCTCTAGCACTCATGCCATCAAGACCAGCCTGCTGTGCTGCCCAGATGAGGTGCTGGGTCCGTTCTTCTCAGCCCTTGGATATCAAAATGATAGGTGGCAGCTCAGACCAGGGAAGTCTGCATGGCCTTTGTGGTAACATGGGCCATAGACATCACCACAAACCCCTGTGCTGCAGGGCCACAGACCTAGATGTGGCCCTTGGTGGCAGCACGGGCAGGGACATCACCATGGCCTTAAGTGGCTGTATAGGCTACTCACATTAGTCTGTTCCTCACGAGCTTGGCTTCTCTTCCTCTCCCATCTCTTTCTCCACCACTTATATCCTCACTTTGGTTCACGGTGTTGTCGCAGTGCTTATGCAGTGCCCCCGCCCATAAGTTGTTTTTTAGATTTATTTATTTTATACATGAGCGTTTTGCCTGTATATATTCATGTGTACCACATGCATGCCTACTGCCTGCAGAGGTCAGAAAGAGTATGTTTGGATCCCTTGGAACTGGAGTTATGAATGGTTGTAAGCCACCATGTAGGTGCTAGAAACTGAACTCAAGTCCGCTGCAAGAACAGCAGATACTCTTAACTGTTTAGCCATCTCCAGCCCCTCTTTTTCAGTCTTTTAGTTCTAGATCTGTGAGGATAATGTATAATCTTCATAGAGTTATCTTTCCTATATAAAGACAAGTATTCCAGTTGAAACTAATAGAGGAATCAAGGAATAGTGTCACAGACCTCTAATTCTAGCACTTGGGAGGTGAAACCAAGGGGATCAGGAATTCATGGCCAACTTTGGCTACATAGTGAGTTAGAGGCTTACTGAACTAGTTAAGACTTGCTCAAAAAAGAAAAAAAAAATGGAGGGAAGTACATTATGAAAATCTGTATAGCAGATTTGCTTGGGCAGGGTCTCATTTAGCCCAAACTGTCTTTTCATACACTGTAAGTTAAAACAACAACAACAAAGACCTTGAATTTCTGATCCTCTTGGCAACACCTCCCAGAGCCAACATTACATGATTGAGCCACTGTGCCTAGTTTATGTGGTGCTGGGGTCAAACCTAGGACCTCATGTATGTAAACAAGTACCCTACCAACTGAGCTACCTCCCCAAGCCATCAAATGTTAATTTTTAAAATAGTTAACATTTTTTACTTTTCTTCCCTAAAAGCTCCATCAAGGAACAGTTCCTGTCTCCTACACGGTCACCACGGTGGCACCCCATGGGATTCCACTATGCACAGGCCAGCACATCCCTGCTTGTAGTACACAGCAGGTCCCAGGATGCTCTGTGGTTTTTAGTGGACAACACCTCCCTGTCTGTAGTGTGCCTCCTCCAGTAAGTCTGTGTCTTTATTCTCATTTGATCTTAACTACTTAAAATAGCGTGCCATACCTAGTTGTTTATGACATAAAGTTCAGCAGTCCCCACTTAGGATAGCTAACAAAGTTTTAAGAACCATCTTTGTAGCTTCATTTCCAAGTAAAAAGATTAATTTTACTATAATAAAAATTTCAGGATTAATTACAGTGACCATTAAAGTTAGCTTTAAAGTATGATGCATTTTATTTACAGAGGTTAAAATATGTACATTTAAGTCCTAAACCATATCTTTTCCTATAAAAAATTTATAATTAAACCTTAATAAAGTTTGCTTTAGGCTCAGTAATGTAATATTTAGCATCTAGCCATCTTAGCCCTTTCTGTGGCCTCACTGGGGACTCTGAGTGCCAGCCTCATTTTTCATGATGAGAAACTTGTTAATAAAAATGCAATCATCCCCAATATCTATAAACTTGATCAGAAAGGTGAAAGTATTTTCTTAGGCCATAGAGACCTTGAGATTCAGACTTATTTTTCCCTCTAAAGCTTACATTTTATCTTGTAATATCCTGACTCATGGTTCAGCTTTCTTACTTAACAATGAAGGTGGCTGAAATCCAGAGGGTCTCAGTAACTTATCTTTAGAGGAAAGCACTTGGAAAAACCTGAATATAAGTTTAACTCCCCTGGTCCACTTACGAGGTTAAGGTAAACATACATGTATCAATGCCACTTTAACAATTAAATGACCCCAGCTGGTTTCTCAGGAATAGAGTGAAGCATTGTGTTGTATTTACCGACTGGCATAGTGAGACGACTGTAAGGAAAAGGTTCTTTTCCTTCATAGTGTACTCTCTTTCCTTAATTTCACTTGTTTTAAATATATTTTGGCTGATTTGGAAAAATGACAAAGTACAGACTAAACTGTTTGCCAATTCTTATAGGTACAGAAATATTCTAGTACTTAATATTTATTATAAGTTAGACATTTTTGTGTGAGTTAGGGGAGGTGTGGCAATTTGATTCATATCTTATTGAAGAAAATTGTATAATCTGACATTTTTAACTTAAAAGGATTTTTTTCTTACAGATGCTTCAGGCATGTTCAGTTCAGCACTTACCAGTACCATATGCTGCATTCCCACCCCTTATTTCTAGTGATCCATTTCTTCTACATCCTCCTCATCTGTCTCCCCATCATCCTCCCCATTTGCCACCACCAGGCCAGTTTGTTCCTTTCCAAACACAGCAATCACGATCGGTAGGTATTTCTCTTCGTGTTTCCAGTTTTTCCAGAATGTTAAGATTAGACTAATTAGTTCAGTAAATGTAAGTCATTTTTTGCCACTTAAGCACTACAACGTTGGTATTCTTACAGCTCTTAAAAGAAATGAAGGAACTACTTACTCATAAATTTGTTTAAACATACTTTAGAGTTAGCTTATTTACATTTTTTTTTCCTGGTTTTTTTTTAGTACTACTTACCTTAAATGAATTTCTGTTGTTTCTGTATATCTGCAGTCTTCCAGGCAGTTAAAAGCAAAGAAAAATTCTTAACTAGGTTTTATGTACACATTATGTATGTATTTCTGCTTTATGCATTCTAATTATTTTAAGTCTATAACTGTGTGTTTGTTCATTCTGGGGTTGGGGTTGGGGATGGGGCACCAGGATCCTGGAAGCCAGAGCACAGTTTTGTGGAGATGGTTTTCTTCCACCTTCACTGTACATTCAAGAACTTGAGCTCAGGTTGCCAGAATTGCTCAGCAAGCCACATCTGAGCCACCTCACTGGCCTCTCGTCTATTTCTAAATTGAGAAATGGAAACCTTATAATTGTCAGCACTGAGAGAGTGTGGAGAAAGAATACACACCATGTATTACCACGTGTACAAGATGCCTGTGACACAATTTAAGAAAGCATACCACATGATAAGAAGTACAATGGGCTTTATAATCATTGTTCACTCAGTGCTCACAATACATTGAGTTTTAGTCTCCCTGTGTGTCCTAGGCTGTCTTCAAACAGTTCTCCTGCCTTCACCCCAAGGAATATGCTAACATGCCCAACAGTAAAAGTAAACCAGAAATGTCCGTTTTGTAAGTGAAGAATCCTGATACAGAATTTATCTGAAAGTCACATACTGATTGATGCCAAAGCTTATGATTTTTGTACCAGGGTGCAACTTGCACTGTACCATACCTCATTTTTCCTGCTTTGACATACATATGCTAGTTTATTACGGGAGGGTCAGGGCCTGAAAGTTCTGTTGATTAGGGTATTATGACAATTAAAACTAACTTTCTAATTCACTTACTATAACTTTTCCTCTCCCATTTTAAGAGTTTGAGTATTAAAAGACATACTATTCGGAAATGCTTAATGTGTAATTAAGACCAATTAATTAAAGGTAGGAAATCGTTTGTCTTATTTTAGTTTGTTGTATCAACCATGGCTTTAAAAATACTATTTATTGTTTTTATTATTGAAAAAAATTTTAAGCATTGCCAATATAGTGATTTCTTTTTTCCCTCCACAGCCTTTGCAGAGGATAGAAAATGAAGTGGAGCTCTTAGGAGAACATCTCCAAGTAGGCAGTTTTACTTATCCCTCTTCAGCTCATCCTCCAACATTACCTCCGTCAGCTCCTTTGCAGTTCCTGACACATGACCCCTTGCATCAGGAGGTGTCCTTTGGAGTAGTAAGTCTACATGCATTGCTATATTATTCATTTATTTATTTGACAACTTATTCTGAGTTGTTATCACTGTGACTCTGAAAATGTTTGGAATTCATATGTTCTTAAAATCACTTGCGTGTGTGTTTTATCCTGGTTGTTGTATCAATGTTAACATAAAAGAACTAGTTAATGACAAGAACTGTAAGTTTTTAAAAAAAAAAAAAAACAAGTGGCAGCTGGACATGGTGGCACAAGCCTGTCATCCCAGCACTCAGAAGGAAAAGCAGGAGTATTACTGCAAGTTTAAGGCCAGGTTCGTCTACAGAGCAAGTTCCTGGCCAGTCTGGGCTAGATACCAAGACCATAACTTAAACAAGTTGGGAAGCCGGAAGTGGTGGGGCACGCCTTTAATTTCAGCACTCAGGAAGCAGAGGCGGGCAGGTCTACATAGCGAGGGTCATCCAGTACAGCTAGGGCTATGCAGAGAGACCTTGTTTCAAAAAACCACGAATAAAACAAACAAAAAAACCAAGCTGGAGCCAGCAAGGTAGCTAGCTCAGAGGGTAAGGGTTCTTGCCATGTAAGCCTTTGAGTTCCATCCTGGAACTCACATGGTGGTAGGAGGAAGGAACCAACTGCATAGACTTATCTGACCCTTCACTTTTATGCCGTGACATGTTCTCTTAACATCATGCACACACAATTTTTTTTTATAGTTTTAAATAGATTATTTGACATTGCTTGTAAACATAGAATGATCATTTTCAACCTTTCCCTTTTACAGCCTTATCCTCCATTTATGCCTCGGAGACTCACAGGACGTAGTAGATACCGGTCCCAGCAGCCAATACCACCTCCTCCTTATCATCCCAGCTTACTACCATATGTGTTGTAAGTACCTTCTTTTACTGAATTCTCTTGAGAGTATTTGTTTTATGAATGCCTTCCTTGTGGTCTTAGTATGTGTTAAGAGACTGTTTTTGCTTGATGTTAAGTGGTTATGGGACTAGAGAGCCATTACTTAAGAAATGAGGAAGGTAGAAACACGAATTATCTAACAGATTAAAAGATGGAAAATTTTAAAGTATTTGCCACTTACACAGTTAAATCAAATTTTTTGTTTTGTTCTGTTTTAGGTTTTATTTTGTGTGTTAGTCTTCCCCTGCCAATGTTTATCTGTGCCATGTGCATGCAGTGCCTGTAGACCAGAAGAAGGCATTGGATTCCTGGAACTAGAATTACGGGTGGTTGTGAGCCACTATATGGATAGTGGGAACTGAACCTAGGTCATCTGTAAGAACAGCAAGTGCTCTTAACTGTTGAGCCATCTTGTTAGCACCTAGAGTTACAAAACAACCCCTTTTCACATGTATTTATCATGCATGGGGTCAGGGAGCACGTGCAAGCCACAGCAGGTATGTGAAGGTCAGAGGACACCTTGAAGAGGCCTATTCTCTCTACCTGTGAATTTCAGGGATCATCAGGCTTGCTGGGAACAACAGTACTGAGTCATCTTTTAGGCCTTCATGTAGCTTTTGATTATCCAGCTTTTGATGGTGTTTTCCTTGGAAAAAACAAGAAGTCATTTCTACATCTTAAAACTTGTCTGTTAGGATTAAGTTTGTCTGTAATGAACATCATGGCTTAAATATGGTAGTTTTTTGTTTCTTACATAATGAAGTATGTAAGTAGGCCAACTCCAGGATGGTTTGTTAACCTTCTGTCTGTGGAGATGGATTCTTCTGTCCTCCAATCTTAGGGTGTGCTCATGATCCTGAAGCTCCAGCCATCATGTCAGTAGCTGGGTGTGCTGGTGTACTGTAATCCCAGGAGTCATGAAGCTGGAAAACTGAATTCAAAGCCAGCTTGCTTCACAGTAAAAGTACCAGGGCCAGGCTGGGTTACACAGCAAGACACTATCTCAAAGAAAGGAAGGGTTGAGAAAAAATAGGTTTCTCTTCCTACCTACTTCTCTTGATGTTTCCCAAAATGAAACATCTTACTATTGTTGATACTTCATTGACTGGGACTCAAGTCACATGCTTATAATGACCTTTTAAGACAAGTATGAGCTGTAATCTTTAAACTACAAGTTACTGTTCTGATTATTTTAGCTCCTTTTCCTCCCTCCCATCTCCCACCTCTCTCCTGTCTTAAAATAGAGTAATATAACTCCCAATTTAGAGCTTAAAAATGTTTCTGTTTAATCTTGTGCATTTTCATGTAAATTTTAAAATTTACATTTATTTTGTACTAAAAGATAAAAGAAGCTTAATTAGTTCTGTGTTAAATCCATAGATCAATATGGAGAATTAGTACTAACAAGTCATCTTTCTAGTCTGCTTTATATTACTGTTTATCTTAACAGTCTTTGGTTGGTTGGTTTTGGTTTTTGGAGACAGGATTTCTCTGTAACAGGCCCTGGCTGTCCTGGACTAGCCTTGAAGACTAGGCTGGCCTTGAGCTCACATCTGCCTACCTCTGCCTCCTGGGTGCTGGCATGTAAGGCATGCACCACCATGCCCCCTGCCTAGCAGTGTTTATTATATATGTCTTACATAATTTTCACTAAGTCTGTGCCTACATTTTTCTCATTACATTTCATTTATTAGTGTGAGTGTGCACACAGGCCTGTGTGCATGTGCACACCATGGCCCACTTGTGGTAGTCGGGTTCTCTCCTTCCATCATGCGGGTTCTGGGGATCAAGTTCAGATTATCAGGCTCGACAGAGCTCCTTTACCTGTTGAAGCAGTCTCTGGTTTTCACATTTGGCTTGTTATGCTGTTGAGAATGGTATGTTTTCACTGTCAACTTTAGTCTGTTCCTAGTAAAGTCAGTGCCTTTAATGAGTTACTAATTACCACTGACCTTCTTGGTCTGTGTGATTTGTCCTTCTGCTGCATATTTGGGTTAATGTACCTACATATTAATGCTTCCTTGGTGGTTTTCTTTGTAGATCAATGCTTCCAGTACCACCTACAGTGGGCCCAACTTTCAGCTTTGAATTGGATGTGGAAGATGGAGAAGTTGAAAATTATGAGGTTTGTAGATGAATTGTGAATTAATTTAAGGAGTATTGTGGAAGTTGTCGTTTACTTTCACATAAATGTTTATTGGGTTAACTTTGCATTTTAAAATACAAATAAGTCATAAAATTATTCAGCATTCCTAGAATATTTGAACATTTGCCACAAAGCTTCTAGAGTAGGTAGACTTACTCTGTTCAGCCACAATTCCAGGGAGAATGCAAACGATGAGAAAGTGTTGAGTTTTGATGAGATGTATAAGAAAGAATTGTGGAAGCAAAGATGTTTGAGCTGAATCTTGAAGAAAGGGATTTTACTTGCTTTCTTACTTACTGCATGAGTGGGTATTACACGTTGCGGAATAAAGCATATGGTCCGTGACTGAAGTGGAAGGGACAAAGTGGACCTGGTGTGGTCACACATGCCTGTGGTGCTTGCACTTCAGAGGTGGAAGCAGAAGTACAGTAAATTTGAGGCCATCCTAGGCAACATAGTAAGACCATGTCTTAAAAAAGAAAGGGAGAAATGGAGATTTGAGGCATGACATTGGGTACTTAAGAGTCTGAGTCCAGCCGGAGAGATGGCTCGGTTTAAGAGCACTGGATGCTCTTCCAAAGGTCCTGAGTTCAATTCCCAGCAACAAAACGGTGGCTCACAACCATCTATAGTGAGAATTCCGTGCCCTTTTCCTGCCTACAGGCACACATGCAGACAGAATAATGTATAAAAAATAAATCTTTTTTTTTTTTTTTTAAGTCTGAGTCAGAAGGATCTTGAATTCAAGATCAGCTTGAGCTATATAGCGAAACACTTGTTTTTGTAAAAAAAAAAAATAAAGGCAACCTAATTATATGTTAAAGTAGGTAAATAATGAGCCATTAAAAGTTCAGGAAGAACGAGGTACTAGCGTAAAATCAGTAAATATAATAATTGTAACATACTAAAGATTCAGGTATTTTTAAGTATGAGTTCATAGTAAATACTTTTAAAAACCAATTCTTTGGTCTTTTTATTCGACCTTTTCTTTGTATACTACTGGATGCAATTTAGTGTGGAGGAGTTACTCATTATAGAAATATTTCTCTTAATAATGGTGAAATTAGTATTTTGCCAGCCTTGATAAATTAATAGCACACAACAGGCTCATTAGTACCTGGTATCTGTGGCTTGACAAGAGTCATACTTCTCATTTTATAAGAATGTGCTGAACCAAATATGTCAGAAGTGGAAAGTCACATTGGGAATGTCTGTAGGTTTTTGGTTTATTTTGAGACAGGTTCTCCAAGCTGGCCTTGAACTTGTGATTATTCCTACCTCTATCTTTTAAGTACTGTTATTAATAGTTCTGCCATATCTGGTTTGATGTTGTCCTGAGGCTGTAAGCCAGTATTTTGAGCATGCTAAGCCATCACTCCACCAGTTAAGCTACATTTGTAGCCACCCACTGGGAATTTCTACAGGTCTTTGACTTGCTTTCTTCAACAAATATAAGGATAAAAAGAGACTTGACAGGCTTTATCAAAGGACCAGAGTTAAGAGCCCTGAGTCACTGTCCTGGTGGATGTCTTAGTTGCTGTCCTAATGCATCTCTCTACAAGTCTGTGCCCTTCCTCCTGAAAAAATACCGCTTATAGCAGATACAGGAGAGATTGCCTTCCAAGATTGGATGTGACTAGAAAGACTTACTGAAAGCAAATGTGAAAAATCTTTTTAAAAGTTAGGGTGCAGCCTCAACAGAAACATGCAAAGGAGTCAAGTAAAGGTTGTTATCCTAGGAACTCCATTTAATTCTAGAGTAAGTACATAAAGTTTTCTATGTAAAATAAAAAGGTTGTGAGTTCGCTCACACCAGTAATCCTAACACTTGAGAGACTGCAGCTGGAAGATTACCATGAACTTGAAGCTAGCCTGGGCTACAACCTGAGTTCCAAGACAGCCTAGTCTGCAAAGTGATACTTGTCTCAAAAAAGTTAGAAGTTCCTCCAATGGATGGCTGAAGGCTCTTGCCCCCAAGCCTTGATGACCCTTTTTCAATCCCTCGGATTCATTTGGTGTAAAGAGAATTATTAACCCCTACTCCTCGTATCCCCCTCATTGTCCTCTGACCTCTGCATGTGCTCCACGGTACTATGTGTGTACATACAGGTGCACATTCACAAACATTAATAGAAAATGTAACAAAAGATGAAACTCTGTCTCCTTCTCCTCTGTAGGCCCTGTTAAACCTGGCAGAGCGACTGGGAGAGGCGAAGCCTCGGGGACTGACTAAAGCAGACATTGAACAGCTTCCTTCTTACAGGTTCAACCCTAGCAACCATCAATCAGAGCAGACTTTGTAAGTATGTTTCTGTGACACTCCTGCTACCTTTATGAAGTAAAAGTTTGAGTGCCAGAGATAATGTGATAAAGGAAAGTAGTCAGCATAGACCTTTTCTAAGCCCATGCTGACCAGTAAGGGGATCTGGTCATATGGACTATTTAAATTCCTTAGTCACAGTAGCAAGTGACTGCTGTTAGGATGTTTAAATACAGGTTTGAAAACAGAACGAGCTGAGATTCCTACCCCATGAACTTCACCCCCATGTAGGTGTTTTTAGGGTGTTTATAACATTGTGTGACAGTCACCACAGGTTTAGACAACTTCATCATTGAAAAAAAAAAAAAAAGGATTTCCTTTTAACTATTAGCAACTACTTCTCATGTATTCTCAGTACCCTACTCCTGCCTCCACCCCTTTCTTTCTTTTCTGAGACAGGAAAGACAGTCCTGGCTGTCTGGAAACTTGTTCTGTAGTCCAGGCTGTCCTCAAACTCCCAGAGATCCACTTGCGCCAGCCTCCCGAATGTTGGGATTAAAGGCCTGCACTACCACCACCTGCTTGCCTCGCATCCTCTTCATGCCTATTGCCACTATCTCTAGCTAGCGCATATCTGGAAGTCTTTAACAGTACTTCTCCAGACTTCCTAAGGCTGCTACCCTTTAATACAGTTTCTCATGTTGTGGTGACTCCCCACCATAAAATTATTTCGTTGCTACTTCATAAGTGTGATTTTGCTGTTAATGAATCGTAATGTAAATATCTGATATGAAGGATATCTGATAGGTGACCCCTTGTGAAAGTCATTTGACCCCCAAAGGGGGGGGGTTGTAGCCCGTAGGTTGAGAACCACCACTATAATACCTAGTCTTTCAAGTCTGTCCAGAAATTCAATGTAGCGTAACTTTTTTCAGCTCTATATATAGCAGCTTGTAGCACTAAGGCATTCATTCATTCATTTATTCAAATACTGATTTTTCAAGATGCCTGCCTCTGCCTCCCGAGCGCTGGGAGTAAAGGCCACCACTGCTCAGCAGGTATTCATTTTTATACCCAGATAATACTCTGTGGCATGGATATACTATGCTTATCCTTTCTTTAGTTGATGGACATTTAGGTTGTTCACACTGTTTGGCTATTAGTGAATAATGCTACTTGAAGCATTTGTGTAAACACTTTTTCTGTGGACTTATGTTTTCATTTCTCTTAGTGAAAGTGAGTTGCTAAGTTAAATTCATAATCTCATGTCACAATTTTTCCGTTTTATATTCCTGAGAGCCGTGCAGAGATTTCAGTTTCCATGTTTTCCAGCACGTTGTATTGTCTCTCTGTCTCTGTTGACGCCATCCTGCTGAGTTTAAAATGTTAGGCTACTGTGGTTTTACTTTCCTTTTCCTGGTGGCTGCTAATGTTAAACATCTTTTCTTCTGTTCATTGGGCTTTATGTGTGTATGTATGATTTTTTTTTTTTTTTTTGAGAAATAGCTTTTCAAATCATTGTTTTTAAGTTGGGTTATCTTTTATTACCAAACTGAAGAATTTTCTTCTATATTAGAGAAAAAATTATGTTAGGTAAAAGGTGTTCAGTAATGTCTCCCACTCTGTGGGCTTAGGAGATGGTTTGCTTATAAAGTGCTTGGTGAACAGTGTGAGGACCTATGTTCAGTTCCCAGCACCAGTGTGTACAGTTGGCCAAGTGTGATGATGTATACTTGGAATCCCAGTACTGGGAAGTCAGAAGTAGGCAGATCCTTGGGGCTTGCCAGCCTAGCCTATTTGGCAAGTAAGAGACTTCATCTTTGGTTATTCAATACCAAATGGTATCCCTGAAAATATGCATATAGGAGATATTATACAGATTGACTAGTTTGTATTTATAAGTATATACATATATACATGCAATAACAATTAGTGAATAAAAAGAGGCCATTCATTTGAAAGAGCAAGGGGCTATGTGCAAGGGTTTAGAGAGAAAAAAGGGAAGGGAGAAACAGTGATAATCTTAAAAAACAAAAATACAAGGATTGGCTCAGGGGGTAAAGTGCTTGGGTGAGAACCCACTTTTAATTGGGGGCCATGGCTATGCAGTCCTGTAATTCCAGTACCCTAGATCCATCACAGGAACCCATGTAAAGGTGCCTGAAGAGCCGAAGTAAGTAGATGAAAGGTGGAGAGCAATTGAGGGAGACTTTGCCATGGGTCTCTAGCCTCCATGAAAGCATTTCCTTCTCCCTAGATTTTTCCCATTCTGTAGGTTGTCATAGTTGGTTTTGGTTTTAAAACCATATTTTTTCACATACTAGTGAAGCTCTCTGAACTATAATCTCCTTTGCAATTATTTTATTTTATTTTTTTATTATGTATACAGTGTTCTACCTGCATGTATACCTGCACGTCAGAAGAGGGCACCAAATCTCATTATAGATGGTTGTGAGCCACTTTGTAGTTGCTGGGAATTGAACTCAGGACCTCTGGAAGAGCAAGCAGTGCTCTTAACTTCTGAGCCATCTCTTCAGCCTCCCCTTTGCAATTTCTTGATGGCATCCTTTAAAAAACAAATTTCTTAAATTTTTGATGGAATTTATTTTGTGATGTTGAGAATCCGAAGTGGGTCTTAACATATGCCAGTTCACACTACCCTGGAGCTGTATCCCCACCCATTTTTGATTAATTTTGTTTTAGTTCATTTTTATTGTTTGTTTTTCTGTTGATTGCTGATATTTTCCTCATGGCAGAAAATTACTTATTACTCACAAAAATTGACTTTTTCCCTTAATCTAGAGTTTGTTCTATTTTTTGAGGCAAATGATTTTTGCGTACATGTTTGTCATGTGTTTGCAGGTGCATACGCACATGTGTGCACATAGAGACGAGAAGTTGATATCCGGCCTCTTTTTCAAGTCCTCCTGCAGTTCTCTGAGTCGGGGTCTTGCACTGAACCTTGCTAATCCACTAGCATATCCCAGGGATTCCAGCTGTTTATGCTAGTCCTTTGATCTGAACTCTGAGCCTTACGTTTATACAGCAAACTCCGCCAAGCCCAGATTTGGAGGTCTGCCTTTGCTCTTTTTCATGTGACTATCCTACTATTCCAGGACCCTTTTCTAAACCTTTTTTTTTTTTTTTGGAGTTTGGGCACAGGGTCTCACCATGTAGCTCTGGATGTCCTAGAATTCATTAGACCAGGCTGGCCTCAAACTGACAGAGCTCTTCCTGCCTCTGTACTAAGATTAAAGGTGTGTACCACCGTGTTCAACCTTATTCCAGTACTTATTAAAATAATACAATATCAGTAGTATAGTACCTTTAGTTTTCAGACTAAGTTGGATGTTAATTAGAAATACCCTTTTGCCGCTTGCTTTTGTTATTTCTGGTGGATGTGTGTGTTATGAGTGTAGTTGGTGTGTGGTGCTCATTTGAATGTTGCATGAGCCTGTGCATGCACAGGACAGTGAGTGTCTTTCTCTGTTGTTCTCCACTTTATTGTCTTGAAATAGGGTCTCTCACTAAGCTAGTTTGTTTTTGCCTCTAGACAGGCCAGCTAGGAAGTCTTCGACGTCACTGTCTCTCTCTCCCAGTGTTGGAGTTAGAACACACACAGCCATGTCCAGCTTTGCACATGGATAGTGGACCTTCAGTCTTGGGTCTTCATGCTTACAAGCGCTGTTAACCGCTGAGCCATCTCTCCAGCTCCTTAACCAGAAAATTTTGATAATCTATCAGTAAATCAAAGAACCCTTGGGAAATCCATTAGCATCATCATTTTTAGGATAGTGGTAATTTTAAAAAGTGATTTTTGATAACTGAGAATGACTTTGCAAACATGATAGTCATAACTAAATAGAAAACCAAAAATGATTTTTTTTTCCTCTTTTCCAGGTGTGTAGTATGCATGTGTGATTTTGAGTCAAGGCAGCTTCTTAGAGTTTTACCCTGTAACCACGAGTTCCATGCCAAGTGTGTTGATAAATGGCTTAAGGTAAAGTGATCACAAGTGTAAAGAAAATAACCATATTCTGTGTTTTTATTGATTATAGGTTCATCTGAATAAGTCCATTGGGGGGGTGGGTAGGTTTTGCAGAGAGATAGAAGCTTAGCTTTTAGCAGATGCGCTCTGTGAAATGTCCAATAAAGAGCAGTTGCAGAGATTGGAATAGAGTAGACTTCTGGGTTGTTTCCAGCCTTGTTTAAAAAAAGAACTGTAGCCATCAACAAGATGGCAGTTCTGCAAGAGCAGGGAGCAGGCAGGCTGTTTGTTGCTGTTATCTGTGTGCTCTCATTTCATCCTTGGGCCCAAGACCTGGCCTCCTTAGGATTTAGATCTTTTTTTTTTTTTTAGTCAGAGTTTAGATGGGACCTCACTGGAGTTTTTGTTTGTTTTGTTTTGTTTTGTTTTTGCCAGAGATTTTTTTGTGGAGAATAGGCTTTTTACTTCTGACCAGTCCTTATCTTGTACATGTAGAAAAGCCCAGAGACTAAGGACAGCAGTGATCTGTCAGAGTGAGTGCTGAGGCTTCTTGTCTTTCTTCTTAAGTGTTTCTTTGCATAGTCTTAATTATGTGACTAGATTATAACTAAGATGATACAATAGTCAACTTTGAGTTTTTAATAGAATGTGGCAATTAGGCAGCTTGATAGCCTAATCAAGCAGTTAAGGTAGAGCTGCTGTGCTGTTGTGCAGCTGCCATTGGAGCACGGAGGAGAGAGTAAGCCAGGAACATCTGCCCTCAAGGTTATTCCCACCTACATAGTGAGACCTGTCCACTAAGAAAGAAGGAATGAGCAAACTAAATCCTGAAAATGAAGAGTCTGAACTTTTTAGAAAAATATGGCTTGTGTAAACTCCTAACATGTGAACGAGGAATGGTCAGGGAACTACAAGTTCATGCAGCTAATAGCCAAAGTGAGAGAGTGTGGGAGAGGGTGGGACACAAAGACTCAAAGATGTCGTTCTGAAGCATGTAGTTTATACTTGATTCTGAAAGCAAGAGGAAGAGTGCAGCTACAGTTGTGTTTTAAAAACCTGGAGCCAGGCTCTTGGGACACACCTGAAGAGGTAGGGGACAGGAAAATGAGAAATTCAGTTCCTCACATCCTAAAAAACTAGTGTATATGACACCCTGAATTTAATCTCCAGTTCCACCCCTGTTGTCCCCCCTCCCCCCAAAAAAACCAAAACCCAACAACAAAGCAGCAGCTAAAGTTTTAATTTTAAGTTAGTTTTTTCCAAACTGGTGATAGCAAGTCATGTTTATGAGATTAAACAAAGTCATTAAAAAGTCACTTGTGACCTTATTATATCTTGGAGATTTGTGTAAGTTGTCTTTTTTGTTGTTGTTGTTGTTGTTGTTTGTTTTGCTTTAAAACAGGCTGTCACATAGATGTGGCTGGCTTGAATGTCTTGATTTTCCTGCCTCCATGAGTTGGGATTACAGGTTTACACTATCATCCTGGTTTAGGATTTGTTTGTTCTTAAATCAATATAGACCATATGGGAATAATAGAACCAGGTACTTCACTGTATGAGACATAACTCCACTGAGCTTCCTCTTGTTTTTCAGGGAAATCGTACTTGCCCAATTTGCCGAGCTGATGCTTCTGAAGTGCATCGGGATTCAGAGTGACCAGCCTAAGAGCACAAATTGAGTTTGGGTGTTCCTCATCACGTGTATATATGGACTATCCATTGAACTTAACCTGTGTGGCTTCCAGCCCTCCCTTTACCAAAAGGGTCAATGGACCTTTCTTTGCACTGTGTGACTTAATCAACTATAAAAGCTTACAATTAGTCTTCACAATTATGGGATTGTTATACTAACTGTGTGATTGGAACTCCAAAGACCTTTTCTTTAGCTTAATTCTGTGTGTGCACTAACATTCCCTGGTTTTGTGTGATCGTTCCGAGTGTTGCTGCCAGATTACAGTGGACGTCATCTTTTAGCATGTGCTTTTATAAAAAGTGGTAGCTCCAGATGATATAGCAGTCTACCTTATATAGAGCCTTCAGAAACTGTGAGTGGGGATGAGTGCAGCGTGTGACTGTTGGTGATCAGTGAGTCTGTGTGAGAGACTGTGTGCAGCTACACGTGTGTATGAGATCCTGTATACCAGCATGTACCAAGAATGTGTGTAGTTTTAATTATGCTGCAATGTATAATCTGGTGTGTTATTTAAACAGCACTAGTACTGTACACTGGTTTTACCCTTGTGTTTGCTGTTGCACACTGATTGCTAAGGGTGCATCAATTCTAAGCATTGAATACTCCATCCCCTTCCCTCCCAATGAATGGAATGAGAAAAGCCTTCTTCCTTTGCTTCAGGCAGCTGTCCCCTTCTTTCTCTTTCTTGGTGATCCTGAGTGGGTTACTTAAGAAAAAAAGTGTCAGATTCTCACTCCATGATCTGATTTTCTTTTCAATTCTATTGTAAAAGAAACTTAAGTCTCCAACTTGCTGTTTCCAATAAGAAGGTGCAATATCATACATCCTCATTAGCAATATTAGCATTTCAATCAGTGATCTGAGTGTTGATACTGCCTTGTTTTCCCTTACATTTCCAGTTGCTTCTTACAGAAAGGACCTGTGTTTTTGTTAATGTGTAGATTTGTAGTCTGTTCTGAAGATGTTGGAGTAATATATTTTTAAGAACACCACTGGTCCCATAAGACTCACCTCTTTGACCTCCACAAGAGCAAAATCTTAACTCAGCCTGGTTACCTAACTCAGCCTGGTTTCTGGTTTGTGTTCTTCACTCAGACCTCCATGGGCAATTAAATTGTATTTCTGTTGGTGTTAGCTGAGTCCTGAAGTTGTCTAGTTTTCCCTCAGTAAACATTCTCATTGAAACCTTTGTTTCAGGATGGATCAAGTGCTATGACAGCTCATTTCTTAGGCCTGGTTTGCTTCGATGTCTTACTTTTTTTTCTTTTAATTTATGTTAGAACAAGAAAAGTTTAATACAGTAGGTGTCCAGAATACTTGCAGTGTAAAATGAAGATTGGATTTTTTTATAAAAACATAATGCTGTCAAACAGGAATTGGCCTTTATTTAACCTGAAATGACACATAGCTATGTGTGTATTATTAAAAAAAAAAATAGGTTCATTGAACACAAGTCAGATTGTTTGAAGTCATTTTTCAGCAACATTGGATTCCTTTCTCAGTGTGCTCCGCCTTCTCTGCCTCTGTGAGTTACTGGCATCTGTGCAGCCACACCTGCTGCAGCCCTCTGGTCGCAGGTGTGACTACTCGATGCCAACCTCACTCAACTCAAAATTGGCACTGGGCCTGTTTTTTTTTTTTTTTTTTTTACTAGGACAGGGACAGTGTTGAGCTACTAGTTACTGCCATGTTCCTTACCCTCCCTTGAAGTCTCTCTAAGCTCATCTCAGCCTAGAGTTCAGGAAAGTCAATTCACACAGAAGCACAATTTTGTCTTCTTCCAGACACTGTTGCCTCTATCTAGTTAGACAAATAGGATTTGACCTAGGTTCTGTTTGCCTCTAGATTTGTGTTAGTGTGTCAGAAATACTTAAAACAGAGGTAAAATGCACACGTTACTTTTAAATCATTAGGATAACCCCCTCCTGTTCCTAATGAATAAAAGGTGTGTTAAAGACCAAAATTATTACCGTATATAATAATCAGCTCCAAATCACATACAGCTTAATCTTTATTTTTTAATTTAAAGAAATCATGTTTAAAATTGTAAAAGTCCATCTTATATATAGACTTTTATATAGCTTCAAAAACTTTATACCTGTACAGCTCTAACATAACACTGTTCCACGCAGTATTCCTCTTATTGATGCACACAAATGAAGCACTTTCCTAATTAATACAGAGACACGGACTACCAAGGCACATTGTGCTAACAACTGGAAAGTAGCATTTCTTCTATTAATGTTTGATGTAAAGTCTGGTAGTTTTTTGTTGTTGTTTTCGAAAGAGGTGGTTGGCAATTTAGGAGGCATTTGTGTCTGTCCTGACGGTAAAATTCTATTGTGCAGATGACTGCTGTCTCCTTGGAATGTCTTGTTTTAGCACAGAGCTCTTAGAGATGGCCCAGACTTTGTCACTGAGTGGTTAGTGTATCGTAGGAGCACACATGTGACCTCTGCCTGTCCACAGTGGGCATCTTTGTGGCTAGCAAATGAAGAAAGTGCAGTTGATTCCTGCCCAGCCATCATTGATTAGAAGATGCACCAGGTGGCAGAGGATGTTGGTAGCCATCATCCTCTCCTAGAACGTTATTGGCTTTACCATCCTAACCCAGCTGTGGGGGTTTTGTAGGTTTTGGATATGGGGTTGTTTGTTTTGTTTTGTTATTTTGGTTTGTATGGGTTTTTGTTTATTTGTTTTTTTTTTTTTTTTTAACATGAATCAACCATGTTTTGTATTTTTTTAAACTCCAATCTCCACAAAACAACTCAAGGCCTCCAAGTATCAAAATGTCATATTGAGATTTTTCTGTCCTGAATTTTTTAGCAGAATCTGAAATTGTAAAAGCATATTAGATTTTATACACTCCCTGAAATGTAATTTGCTAAAATTCTTAAATTTGGGTCTCTTGTGATAATTTCAAATATGATTGGCCTGTCTGCTTCTGAGAATATTTTTCACAGTATCTCCAGGCCTTCTTTAAAAACCTGTCCCCCATAGTGCATCTGGTACCTTAGGTTGCTGTTTGTTTCAGATTATGGAAGCTCACAGGGGTGTTTGCTGGAATCATTTGCTGAGTCATTTCTTCAAATCATATTCCATTGTATCAGTTAACACATAGTTTTAAATGTATGTATTATAAATATCTGTAACCAAAATCATTTGAAGGCTTGATAAATTTTTAACAAAGTTTGTACATTTTTTATGAAAGTTACTAGTAATGCTTTACTAAGTAGTGCAATGAATTTTTATTTTTAATCCCTGTGCCCAATTTTGGAGTTGAGAGGGTTGTTGGTAATAAATGTATGATGTACACTTAAAACATCTGTTGTGTTTCATGTTAGGTATATTTAGAAATGATTTGCAGAGGGATGGAGGGTTGGTGGGATATGGTAGGGAAATAGAGCCGGGGTGAGGTGCTAGGCTTAATCTTTGACATTAGTTGTATTCTTTGGCATTAGTGTAAACAGCCTCAAGTCACAACAAGCATAACAGAGTATTTGCTTGTGTCCTTATAAGATACAGAGAATACCCAATAACTAGGAAAGCTGGTATACATCGGGACAGTTTACATCCAAGTCACTGTCAGCATAACAAGGGAGAAGGACCCTTTGCCTGTTGTCATTCGTGATTGCATAGTAGATCTCTTGTAACTCTGAATGTAAGCAATCTGCCAACCTAGTTACTTGAGCAGGTAATCGAGGCTGGTGTCACACCAGCAAAAGCATTCAGAAATCCTGATTATGAACCATTACCTGGAAATGAGCTCTTCTAAAAAGCCATTGCATCTTCAGCAAGTATTTCTTCCAGTAGGAAGTAGTTGATAATGCTGATGCTGTATGGGCTTCACACTTGCCGATTCATTCCCCTTTGACAGGTGTTTACAGTGGTTGCAGAGTGGCCTTTGGTGGTATCAACAGACATCACTAGAACAGAAGCCCCTATTTACACTAGCAAATGACATTTCTATGTGGTCTGATAGTTTAGTGGCCACATATCAGAGCAGAATTGGTCAGGTGAATGCTTCCATAGTCCTGCTAAAGTCCCCACCTGGAAGAAAAAAAAACCAGTTAATTCAATCCATAAGTATTCTCTATGTAAGAATGAGATATCTTGTTTTTTGTTTTGTTTTGTTTTGTTTTTCTCAAATTCTCTATACTATAGCACGTCCTAATTTGAACTGGTCACATTTTAAATGGAAGCTACATATGGAAGTGGCTGTCATGATGGATGACTCGGGTCTAGACCACTGCGGCATCTGCTAAGGTACTGCACTTACAATGGGTAGTTTATGCCTGTAGTCCTGACACTCTGAAAGTTAAGGTCAGCCTGGGCTATATTTAGGGAGGTCCTCTTTAAGTGGACCTACACTCTACCCTTCAACTTCTTTCTCATAGGCAGAGGTCAACTTCGGATGTTACTCGGGAGTTCCTCTTGTTCTTTGAGACCAGGCCTCTCACTGGCCTTGTAGGATAGGCTGGCTGGCTGGCCACTGAGCCCCAGAGACACTTTGGCCTCTGCCTCCCTAACACTGGCACCATATGTAAGGCCATCATTCCCAGGTCTCTTGTTTGTTTTGTTTTAATGTGGGTTCTGGGAATCAGATTTTGGGTCCTCGTGATGCAAGGTAGGTACTTAACTGACTGGCTATCTCCGTGACCCAGCTTGCTTTTACTAGAATAACTTATTTTTTAGGCAGTTTTATATATGTAAACAATATGTTATTTGGTCATATGCATACCAATTTGCCCCTCCCATTTCCCCAGGCACCTCCAATATGTGTTCATGCACACACACTGCCACTTTTGTAACCCGTTGCTGTTCTTTGTTGTCAGTTTGCCTGCATCTGGAATTAACAAACCCAAGCAGCTGTGTACACCTGTGTGGAGTTTTATTCTTTACTAACTCATTTGAAGTGGTAAGAGCTCCTTTTAATCTGGACCATACTTTTTGATGGCAGTTTATATAAGGACATAGAGAAGGAAGCTCGCTTCCGCTGTCCATGGCAAGTCCGATCCTTCACCGGCATTAAAACCTGCTTTGATATTCCAGCTTAAACTAAAGACCAACCGAGACCAACCTTGTGTACTGAGCAAAGTAGTGGATTCCTTAGCCGCCTCTTGGTATCACCATTGTTGGAAGCTGGACCACAGCCTGTAAGCTGTTCATATATATATATATGACTATACAGTGAGTTAAGAGAACAGCTATGTGAGACCCTGTGTCGAAAATCAGGGTTCCTTGTCAGTAAATTCCCAAGTCATATGTTTGCTTAGCACCTTTAGAATTCCCAGCTTTTTAAATAAATATATAAGAGAAATAAATGACCATTGGGCTGGAGAGATGACTCCACTCTTATAAAAGGGGTTGCTGCCTTTACCAGGAGACCCAAGTTTGCTTCACTCATCCAGTAGCTCACAACTGTCTACAGTTGCAGCATGCTCTTCTGGCCTTCAGGGTTCATTTCTGTCTGCACACCCAAAAATAAAATTGGGTGTTGTTGTTTTTTCATTTGAGCAGTCATAGCATTGGGCATTCTGAAGAATCCAAGGGTGGTTAGCTTTCAGCCTACTTTCAGATGACTGGGTGGGTTCTTACTAAGACTGCTGTACAATGGACATGCTCCTAAACTCTCGTAGGTGGCCCTCTGCAACTCAACTTAGCAGGAAATGCAGGAATAAAAGTCTAAAATAAGGCTGGTGATTAGGTACCAGTCAAATACAAAATGACATCAAGCCCTGGCTTCTTATCCTATGTATGAAAACAAGGTAAAATGAGATGCAGCGGTGAGACAGTACTCTATAGCCCCATTTCTAGCACTTTACCAATAGTCACCAGTGTAACAAAACAACATGCTATCTTCTTGGCCTTAGGAATAAACATTGGCAATGTAGCAATCTCCCTCTTCCCTTTGTCCTAGGCCTCTTGTGTCATCTTTATGGGTGGGAGGCTTAGCTCAGGAGGTAGGCTGCTTGTCTCCCATGCATGCATCCTGGGTTTGATCACAGCACTGCATAAAAGGCTTGGTGGTGCACAGGCACTAGCACTAGGGGCTTGGTGCAGGAGGATCAGAAGTTCAGGTCATCCTTTGCTACATAGGGAATTTGAGATTAGCCTGTGTTATATTAGACCTTGTTTTGGAAGAACAGAATTATACCATGAAACCTTGTAATAGTTACTGTATATCTAAGTGTTGTTCAAAGGTGTAGTGATAGCATTTCTGTAGTGAGTGGAAACAGGACTCAGTGTAGTTGCTGCTGCTGCTTTAAGATGGTAATATCAGATTGCTGCTACATCGGAACAACTGTCTTGCCAAAATTAAGCTAGCTCAAACCAAGGAGAAAGTACTATTGTCTCATGATTCAGCTTTAGAAAGCCCTAATGTGGACACTAGCAGGGAGGGAAGTAGGTTGACTATGCTGGCTCCAGAAGCCTGGGGGATTGCCAGGGCCAAGCTACCAAGTTTTAGTTGGAGAGGCAAAGAGGAAAGGAAAAGGGTCAGTGGAGGCTAGGCAGTGAAGCAAGATATCCACATCTCAGAAGTATGAGGAAGTACTGAAGCAGCTCAGCAGGTGTAAGCTCTTGTGAATCAGCCCCTGTGACCTGAGATTTAATACCTGAACCCACCTAACGGTAGTACAAGGAAGGAATCAACTCCACAAACTTGTCTTCTGACCACTTAGGCACCTAATGTGCACACGTGCCCACACATACAACCCATACACAGATATGATATATGCATAATGCAAGTCTTTAAAAGAATTAAAAATAAATGGTAGGGTGTGCCCATAATTCCAGCACTATTTTCAGTAGGAGCAGCCTGGCTTACCTAGGAAGACCCTGTGTCAAAACAGATCAGTAGGTGCCAGCCCTTAATCCCAGCACTCAGGCCAGCTCGGTCTACCGAGTGAGTTCTAGACCAATCAGGGCTTCAAAGTGAAAGTGGTCTCAAAAAGAAAGAAAAAGTAAAAATAGGTACCGCTCACCAACAAGCACTGCTAGACAATGAGCAAGATGAAGGCAAATGTACTTGGTTATCATAAGTCGTAACAGGTACACTGCATAAACCTAGAGCAGTCTCACAGGCTAGAGAGAGCTCAGTGGCTAAGAACATGGACTGCTCTTGAAGCATAAGGGTCTGGTTGACAGCACCCACGTGGGCTCATTACCATCTAACTCCAGTTGCAGTTCTGGCCTCCATGGGCATCACTCACAGGGTGCATAGACATATATGTAAGGAAAGCACTGTACATATAAGTAAAAATATTTTTTAAAAATCCCTCTCATTCTGAGGCATCTGTGCTTCAATTAAAAAATATGAGGACACACTCCAGCCAGGGAGGCAGGTAGGCTAACTGCAGATCATCACCTCTCCCTCCTCCCAGTCTCATTCCTAGCTCTATAACAGACTGTAACAGGGCCCCAGACCTTAGCACAACTGAATCCATGATGGAAGTATCATTCAGGCCATGAAATTCAATATGTAGACATCACCACCTGAAAAAATGAAAGAACTAATCCATTAAGTCCATAGTTTCTCAAGTCTGTAAGTGTACTAACCTTGCTTTTGGCTTCTGCAGTTCTGCTTCTGGCTAACTGTTCTTGTTAACTGAAGTATGTCACCCCAAAACACAGTTTTGGTGCTTAAAAGCTCACCCTGAGAAAGGCTTGGTGCTACATTGTGATCCCAAACACCCAGTGTAGTCACAGGTCAGCTAATAAAGTCTGTAGAGTGACTTAAACCCATGTCCAAGCGGCCTTCTCTGGTGAATAACCCACAATAGCGAGGTCCCAGAGAACAGACTGTCAGACACTGGGGTCTCATCCCCTTAGAGCAAGGAAGTGTGTGGTGGTCAAGGAGCTCGTGGGGGGTATACAACCTGAGATGTTCCAGGTCCCCAGGACTCTGATCAGCCTTTCCCTAATGCTTCAGAGCAGTCTCATATCTACCCTAACAGAAAACAAGCTAGAAAGCCGCCTGGTTAAGGCGCCTTCTCTTTAGACACTATGAGAGGTCAGACATAGCCTGGTCCATAGGACAGCCAAGGCTACACAGAGAAACCCTGTATCGAAAAACCAAAACCAAACAACCAAACAAAAAAACCTTGCTAGTTTTTATAGATACCTTTTGTGGGTAGGTAGAAGTGTTCCCAGTTTCAGCAAACTGAAACTGCTCAAATAGTAGCTAAAAAGCTCCTCCAAAAACTGGTCTCTTGATTTGGCTTCCCCTTAGCAATGGAGTCTGACAATGGCCTGTCTTCCATAGCCCAAATCTCTTAATTAATAGCTAAAGCTTTAGACATAGATTGAAAGAAAACTTCA